ACAAATCAGGATTTTGTGTCTTACAGTTTTCAGGGGCAGAGAATCTGGGACGTTGTAAACTATAGCTTGGTGAGAAGAGGTTATACGCTTCATCACCTCCGTAGCCAAGCAGTCAATCAGATTTTCAGCTTTATTTAGGTTGTCTGGAGATATTTTAGGATGCCTTTCTAAAAGACAGGCTATTGGGTCTAAATTCAAAAGCTTATTTTGAGTTACATCCAGTAAACACTTAACCTGGCCAATATCAGAACGGCTCTCCGTGGTATTTGAGATTGGCAGTGACATACTATCAAACTGATCTAATTTTTTCTGAATTTCACTTACTTGCCTCTGCATATCTTTCAAAAGGAGGTTTAGTTTACAGAACTCAGAGTTCTCTAACAGAACATCTTTCACCTGTATCACAGGAGTGAGATCTGCACTCAAACCATTTTGAGAGCTAGTAGTTGATACTGTATTACACGACGGTAATGCAGTTATAACCGAATTTAAGCCACTATCTAAAACAATTGTGTTTCTACGAACACGTTTTTTAGAGATTTGGACCATAATTTCAAGAATTATATGACAATAAGCAGTAAATAAATTTCAGAGCAAACACGTGCAAAAATGTCACCAATTTCGAACGTACCGCCAAGTTGTTTAATGCCCACCTCTTGCTACGCTGAGACTCACGCTGTTCCTCGAAGCTTCTCAGAAACGCTTAGCACGAACGGACGCAAAATACCAGAACCCAGTTCGGCGACTCGAGAATTATTTATTCTAACACCAACATATAGCCAATGTACAACTAAGGCCTATGAACAAATATTACAATAATTAATCACAATATTACTTCTGACGGTTGTCTCCTGACTTCTTTCTGAATAGGGACCGATGAGACGATGACTGGCTGATTGATGCCTCCGCGAAAATTGGGGAAGTTGGTTTTGAGCAAACAACCATGAACTGATCGTCCAATCTTCAACTGCATTGACGGGCACTTCAGTCATTCTTTAGTAATATGTATATGAAGTCAGAATAGTTGTAGAAATAAACCAAACATGCTCCTTAGTTTTGTTACACCGATCACTTCTTGGGTCGCCTAATGATGTTTCAGCGCCTTCTATTTTGAATACCTGCCCATAAGGGCTTGCACAGTGAGAAATTCAGAGGATTGCCTTTTTCAGCGTACGTAACGCGCCAACGTCAATTAGCCTTGTTAAGCATGTTCCCATTACACACTACACTACACATTACACACACATTACACATTACACACTACACTATATCACCTAATTGTTCATTCACACTTCATCACATTTTTCTGACTAAACACCCTATACACATTTAATTGACTATGCTAACTAATGGACTATCACCTCAACTTACACATGCACCCCAATACAGTTTCTGATATTATTTTCATTTGCCTTTACTGGCTATATGTACTCTATTATTCATGGATTTATAACTGTAGAGCCTGAAGAAGAAGTTATCGAAAACAATTGTTCGCTCAAAATCTTGTTTTGATGTTCCCATTAATTTAACATTGATACTAAGTTAGCTGAACCTAAAACTTATCCTATCAGAAACCTACTTTTTCGGAGTCCATTGGATTAAATATATGAAGAAACTTTAAAAAGGCTTAGAGAAATGTCAAAAAATACTTTCGGCAGTCCTGAAGTACTCTGTATTAATTTTAAATACCTATTAGCCATCATAGTGCATAGGTTTTTCTGAAATTTCCATCAGAACGATCGTGAATGCTGGTTTTTCATTTACGGATTAATAACTCGCTCCTAAAACCACCGTTATTTAAAGTATTTGTTTGCAGCGGTTTGGTTGATCTAAGTCAGGGAGTGCTGCACAGCTGTTTAACCCTGCTTTGGGCCTTTCAGACCTACTGCCCCCAGACCATAGGTCTAGACTATATACCAGCGAGCCACTGGGACGAAAACCAATGCCTATAAATTCTGGCTTCTGCCAATTTGGGATATATAACGCGACCACTGGCCGGTTTCATCAGTGGGCATCTGCTCTCAAACCTAACTTTATAGATCTCTTCACCAATCCCCACTAGAATTGCATCCTATCAGAACTAGGTAGAGCATATGATAGCGCACTTGACATTTTCAAGTAGCATAAGAGCAAGTTGCATCCATCAGGAACTTGTTGGGTGGGGGGAGGAAAGCAGACAAGTATATGTGAACACCCTCATTGGGCCATCCCGCAGTTTTCTTAACCATAGCACACGAACAAATATGCTGCGTTTTAAGGATAATCGAATCACATGTTCTTTTCCATAAGCTGTTGCAGAGCACATTCGGATGGCCCTCAAATTCAACTACTCAATGATGACAATCGCAAATCGGTTGGTGTTAGTATCCGAAACGTAACAGCAACTACACCAAGAAGAATAACCCACACTTTACTTTTGACTTCAAAGAAATAAGAAAGATTGAAGCCATCATGTGACGGTTACTAATGTCGGGGTTACGGCAAGTACATGGGAACAGAGTCTGCACCCAGCACTTCTACAAATGCATGCTTCCAGTGTCATCATGCCTTAATGTGTAAACTTCATTACTCCTAACTCCAGACTTCACTTTTCATCTCTTTAGGTGCTCAAGGCCGGAAATATGTGTATGAATCTGTTGAGGCATCATCTAATCACGGGTTACTACAACCCAACTTACTGTACAAAAGTCATGTTCTCTGCAGCGTTGCTAGCCTTAACCTCATCATGCCTGTTTGCTGCAACACCATTCAGTTCCGGATAATCTTCAGACTCTATGTAATATTCTCAAGAAAACCCTCAATTAAAATCTTATATCTGACTGTGCAAGTAGCTGTCCCGCTCTGTAGTGACGCTTCCATACAAATCAGGAAACTGCTGTCGTGCAATGTAACTCAATATAGATGATATTGCATATTTCTCTCATGTCATACTAATCATACTATTGTGTAATACGCAACACTGCGTAAATTTACTCATCATAGCGACTCATTTGTTCAGTAGTTTCAGAGTAACAACATACTGTTTGAACTCGGGGAAATGGCTGGTAAGTTATTTCTTTGAAGCATGAGTACTTCAAAATAATTGCATTTAAAACACTTCAAATCCTGAAAATAATTTATTTTCAGCTCTTCTGGGGGCTACTGTGTGTTTTTTTAGAATTTGTTCGTATTCCATCATCTGAGTTTTGGGATTTCATTGGGGACAGTGGTAAACCCGATTGTCGTTGCACTGCTTTAAGGCTGGACTTGTCACGTTTGGTTGAAATTTCGCTTGGAAATTTTTTTCAATAAGTTTTAATAAAGTTGTGTCATAAGTTATCTGGATTGATGGGAATTCCAAATACCTGGCTAGTTATGTTGGTGTCCGCGTCATGTGATCTTAGCATATTAGTTGCAATGATTAGTGTTTCAAGCCCACTGTCAAAATATCGGTATAATGAGGAAGATGGGATAGTTGGACAGTAATGTCATTCCCACAATTCGTTTACTGCATCTAGAAGCTGCACCATTCGGCATAGTATCATTCAATGAAGACTTCACGTCTCAGGATATCAATGCAACCTATTTTCTAGTGACCAATGCTCAGAATTCCATTCTGTATCATAAATCCTGGTTTCGGAATTTAAGTGGATTATAATTACTATTAGACTATAATGTCGCCACTTTATCCTGCTTCATCTGTTCTTGTTGCATCAATCATGATAGTAGCGTGTTTGATAGAACCCATCACACAGCGTATCAGCCCTAGGTGCATGCAGGCATAACGCTTAGGAGCTAGGCACGCAAATGAAAGTAAACGCTTGCACCGTACATTCATTATCCATAAGACTAACTAGTATGTAAGAACTACGATTTGACTAGTCATACAACGTTCAATATATTTAGTCACAATTAACCTACGCTGCTTACTTCTATGACGCATTACCTAAGGCTACGTAGCTACCATAAAATGGTTTCTGCTGAGCAACTTAATGTAATCTTTGAATAAAAAGGTAGAAGTGGAAATTCTGAGAACTCTCTTGGTAAAAAGATCATCTTCTTCTGGAAAAAAGTAAATATACCCTAGTCACCACAAAAGCGTTTAGAGGTATTCATCCTACCACCTCAAATAACTCACTATTTGCAATCACTTAAAAAAACAGTTTGCTTGTGATTTCCTGGTGTCATAGTGCACCATGAGGAAAAACCTATATCCATAGGGTTATAACAGTCCGATGCGCGAAGTTAATCCGAAACACGACTATGATTCTCGGCCACAGAACATTCTACTTTACTATCTAATCGTGTAATTGTATCAAGAGGTATTTTGCCAAGAAAAAGAAGACCCCTGGTTCAAAGAAAGTTTATTTTTCTTAAAAATCACGGAAATCCGTGTTTGTGGTCACGGAGAAATCACAACTTCGAGGAAATCACCAATCGTGAACCCGAAACGTTATTCTTGCTAATTAAAGTCTTACCTTTAACTGGGATAGTTCATGCACTCACCAGATCATATGTTATCCGTTTTTCAAGTCATTTGGCAACATATCGAATGGCTGTTAACACTAGCTCTGCTACAGGTAGTCCTAGTTCATCTATTTGGATCTAGCACATCGGGCATTAATAAGCATACATAACACACCCTTTAAAAGTTCCAGTTTCTTTTTGTTCCTACAGATACACATAAGCACAACAGATTCACACTTCTCAGGTGGCTCAAACTTGTTTGATTTAGATTCTATCACAATATATATCTGACTTTTTAACTGATAACAGATACAATGATCGTATATTCACTTTCTCGAAAAGCTTCAAAGCTTTTTCAACTTCAACCCAGGTTCTAAATTCTCAAGGTTTAATATGATCATCGAAAACCTTGCTAATATCAACCCTGATCGAAATGTGTCCTGAAAAGCTTCACCTATTATGTGCCTTCAGGTCAATAAAAACATATCTTAATAGTATAAAGGCATGAGAGTCATTTTTCTAATTTCAGTCTGATTTGTTTTGCTATGTTAATTACCCATATTGACCTTCAGTCCAAGATTGCGACCTGCATCACTTCAATGCTATTCTGTCTTTCAGATATCTTATGGTAATTTTTGTCTTTCCTTGGCTAATTTATCAGATGCAGGATGAGATGAACAGGTGCATGTTCGCAAGTCCAGTTGATCGCAGTGACGATGACTCACCTCCTGTGTGCCTTGTTGAACTCGTTAATTCTAAAACAAAAGTAATTACCTTTATAAATATATACATTTATTAAGACTTCTGATACTCATGCTCTTATGGAACCGCATGATGATCAGTCTATAAAAAGCCCTCATGAGGTTCTGAATGACTCTGGTACACCTAAAAAAGTCTGCCAGGATGAAACTGTTTCTTTGTTATCTGGAGTTCCTATTCTAAAGTCTGAAGCACCAGTATCGGTAAGCTTTTTTTGTACCATATCTTGTTATGTTATGTTTAAGTACCCAAAATGCCTCTGAATGTATATTTTCACGGTGCTTTAGAACCCAGACAAGCGATGAATGTCCTGTTTACTATGGAGATTAGTACTACGCAGTGCTTACATACCCCTCTGTACTTAAACAGTGCATATATTTTGACTGTTGTAGTTTTTCAGTTTGTAGTCCAAGAGTAGAAACTGACTTATCAAATCTTCAGAAAACCATAGGTTTCCCATCTCATCACAAACAAAATAAATGTAATTCATAGTTTTGTATTCAAATTCAATTTTCGGTTTTCTGAACAGATGGCATTGAACCACACATATCCGCTTTTATGGTACTGCAACATATTCTCGTTTGGTTATTCGTAATTTCAGACATCTATCCGTTTGCTGTATGAAGACTGTGGTCATACCAGCAGAATAACTAAGTATTTAGAACACGCGCAAAAAGGGCAGGTTAGGAAGTGTCATTGGTAGTATTCACATGTGCAGCTGTAACAAAAACAGACGTCCCAATTAACCCAACAACATCTGTTTCAGTGCTAAATCCACTGCAAAAATGTGGGCTATAACAAGGCAACTTACATCCTAGTATACTCCCAAACACGACTGTTACACAGTTCCATGTTGTCTACTAATTTATAGTCTTTGTGGAGAATCACTATTTCACTAAATAACGAAAGGCACTGAATGCAAGATAATATATTAGTCTTTGTCATCATATACTAAGCCATACATCGTTTACATGCTTACATACTTAAATACCGACTAGCTGTCAGTCACTAGTAAATTAAAATGTACTGTTTCTTAAGAACGACGGTAAAAATATAGCTCTTTGTTGTAATTTCGACCTATATATAGTCTCATTATTTGAAAATTTTTCTGAGTGTCTTACTGCTGGTCAGGTAGAACTACTAAATTATTATATCCTTCCGTAATGCTATTTTAGAGAATTGTTGTCAGCCAATGCCACATAAATAGGGATTGTTTTAGCCAGAATAATTGTGTGCAGTTTGGCTAGTATGACAGTTGATCAAAAGCTACAATTATGTATTTTCGTTGCAAATTAAACACAATACTGAGTTTGTATAGGCTCATTGCTCAAGAGCGTGCCTAGAACGTTTATTTGTTTCATTGAGTGAAATTTGAAGTTCTCTTCGTCTGGGTGGTTTTAAAAGGTCCGTCGACGTTTGCACTTTTAGATTGTGAATACTGAAGAAAACAAAAATAATGGTTTGCCAGACTCCACTTCAGTTGAAAATAATCCAGCAGAATCGATTCATCCTGATACTCATTCATCAGAAGTAAAAGAACCAAACGCGACTCTTTCTTGTGAGAATACTGTTCAGTGTGGCGGTGGATTTCCAGTGAGTGAGAAATATTTACATTCCAACACGAAAAAGTCTCCGTTTTATCAGAAGGTGGAGGATGATGACGACCTAGATTTTGAAGATCGACCGTTAACCGTAGTCACACAAGAAGCTGATGATGTGTTACCTGCTGAATCTGTAAATAGTGTGACTCTCAGCACAAATAATGTCGCGCGGATTATCCCGAGTAAGTAGTATTTGTCAGTAGTTTCACATGTGTGTAAATTTTTACTTGCATAACTAAGAGGCTAACCAAGTTGAGACAAAAAGTAAACGATCTGGCTGGAATTGTAACATACCCTGAGTAGTGCTAAGGATTTTTCACAGGATAGATAGAAACAAGCTTTTTCAATATACCACAGCCTATATATATATATATATATATATATATATATATATCTTGCAGTTCTCTTCAGTAGTATTTGACATTCAGGTATCGGCACAGATAAAAAGCGTCACTTCACTTTTTTCCATCTTACATCACTTTTTTCCGGTGAAATATCCGACAATCAATCAATACCTCGTCCTACTTTCAATGGCTTTGAGATGTAGCCGCTATTGCCGCTGAACTTTGATTGTAAGGGTCTTCATTCTGCTACTCATGTTAGATGGAACTACGTGGCAAACAGTACTGAAGCAGCATATGGTATGTTTTATGGAGGCTCATGCGCTTGTGTGAATTTCAATCATTCCTCAACTTGTTACTGAGATTTCCTTTCTTATAAACATTCAAGAACTAATGCAATTTAGCAGATTACGTAAGGTTGTAGTATCCTAATTGTTATTCTTGTTTGCAGACTAAACATACAGGTAGAAACATGAAGTTGGGTAAAATTATGGGACAAGCAGAGTAATCACTCTTTAAACAAAGTGATTTTTAAGGGCAAATGAAGAAGAGAATTGATCATCAGGCATTCTGCGGATAATTTAGGTGCTCAAATCTACTTCCTTGCTACAGAATTTTCATTATGGGTTTTCTTCTACTTTATTTTTCGAGTGAAGTCATTTATCTCGGCACGCTAGTCATCTGCTCAACCCAAAAAAGTGGTCATAACTTTAAATAGTGTCAACAGAAATATGAAACTTATGCATAACTAGTCTACATATTTATCTGTCTGTACGTGTTGCATGGTCACACTTTTCTGTGTTTTAGGCTATTATATGTGATTTGTAGGTTGCGGTTTTCACATTCATCGTGGTAATGTGAATGCATTCAGATATTGTCTTCGTTGTATCTGTGTTGTCACACTTCTTTACCCGTTTCTTCTGCTTTCTTCTCTTCTGTCAAACTATTCAAAAACTGTTTATATTGTTTTCGTAATATGAAACCCAATGTTAGTAAACTCATTCTGTTCACTGAGACTGATTGCTTTTTATTAGAAGAGTCGACTTCTCAGTTTACAAATTAATTTGCAATTTACACAGTTCGAGGTGAGGCTACACCGCAGTATCCTGTGATTTGCTTGATACCATAAATACTAATCAAGAAGTCAAGCATAAACACCTAAAATTATTATACTACTGGTTGATTGAGATGAGCATTTATGTACCATTCATATTAGTCAGTAGTACTTGCTAGCCAGATTGAAGTGATCTAAGCACCGTGGGATGGCCGTTTCGCTTGTCTGACGCCGAGCTTATCAGCTCTGTATCTCGTTAGTACAAATACTACTGGCTCATATGACTGGTGTACAACTAGTTATCTCAGTCAATCAGTATTAGGAAGCTCTGAAAGAGTCAGGCTTGTAGGATGTTATGACTTCTTGCTTACGCCTACTGTGCATTTTAAACAATCTGGTAGTGAGTGAAACATTGATGTTTACTAACTTTACTAAACATCCAAAGAAACCGATCAACCTTATCACATCTTAGATATATACACCATTGGAAGTGTGCTCTAATGTGACCGTGTACTAAAGATAGTCTGCTATACGGCACAAGAAAAGTTATAATGAAACTTACACAATCTTATATATCATTTGGTAAACGTTTTATCCTGTTTGTTTTTTATTTGCTGTCTTCCAAAAGTTGCAATAATTTGGATGGTCCCAATCGAGAATCAGTTAGCTTCTTGACTTTATCTACCGAAATCCTGTTTATAGTTAACAATACAGAGATGAATTTTTTATTACCCTTTAGTGGAATCAAAATGGGAAACATTGAGTGCGTCGTCCGAGGATGACGTGGAGGAGATCGTGTGGAGAGAAGATGAGAGATTATGGGTAATAGTGGGCCCAGCTGAAGAGGAGAACAGAAAATAGAACAAAGTGTAAATGTTTTGTTGAAGCCCTGTGTTCTACTCGGAAACCAAGGGGACAGTGATATAATAATAGTGATAAGTACAAAGTTTCTCTTAAAATGAATCTATTTTATTCAAACTAAATCCCAAGTATGTTTATTTTTTGTAATTTTCAGACAACGTGACCGAAAATACACAGACTTCAATTACCGGTACAACAGAAAATCAAGCATCAGTTACTATAACCAGTACCACATCATTACCTAACATAACACCTCCCTCCACCTCTTCCCCTTCAACGTCGTGTCTGTCTACAAATCCACCCCCAAACGTTCACTTGGTAATTACTTCTAGCAAGAATTACTCTTCAGATGGACATAACACATGTGCCCCAGTTGCCTTAGCGACTGTAGCTCCTATAAGAATGTCATCTGTAGGACCTGAATATAGCGTCTCGTAAGTCTGTTATTTGGAAGTGGATATTTTACATGTGAGAAAGAGCATGAGTTTTTCTTGCTAATCATATTTTAACCACTATTTTATTACATAATTTTAAGAAACAAAGGTGTCTGAAACTAAATGACAGGTAATCGTTATGTCTTGTATTGACGTGAGCACTAGATTAACATAAAGCAAATCACTTCAACTATTCTTTGCTAAATCTAATATCAATGGATTAATATTATTATTAGTATTATTTGTGATCATACAGTTAGTCGGTGATTCGTGTTGCTTTTGCGCTGATGCGCCAGTATATCTGAACCAGCTCAATTTAGATTGGTTTTTGGGTGTGTAGCTGTTTAGCACTGATACTAATACAAAGGCAATATTTCATATAGGCGATATCTTTTAGAATCAAGCATCGCTTATACGCCACTCGGAGAACTCACACTTTTCATGAAGTTCATGCCATAATTAGTCATTTTGGGGTTTGGTGCCTTGTCTTCATAATGTTTTATAAAATGCAATGTATTCTAGAGCACTAATCCATAAAGTCACTGATCATCGGTCTGAGTTATTTATCTGTGTATGTACTGCTTAGCTGTCATTCTCAATATGTTAATATAATATATCTGAACCCCTATGATATGTTCAGAATCGTCCATAATATCGCTAATGTATTCGTTCATATTTGTCTCTCAAATCTTTAAAATCAATAATCTCGATATAATTATTCTCCTATACATATTCCCCCATAGTATTTTCCTGAAATATTCCTCCTCTATTTTTAGGCACTTTTTCGAATTGTGACAACTGGAACTGGTACACTTCTGTGTAAACTTCCAGCTTGTCAGACAGTAATTTTATGTTAATCCCACTAGTTGATAAATCTGTTTACGCATTTCTTCCTTGGAAGTCTTGTCTTACAGTTCTGTACACCCTACTGGGTGACTATGAAAAAGTCATTCTTACCAGTCTATTAAAATAACTTCTGTCTGATATTTGGATTTAGCAACTAGCTGGGAGGAGACTCCTATCTTACGTAGATTTCCGTCCTTGCTAGTATATACAGCGTATATCCGCAACCCTACGGAAACCTATGTGAGATTTCAGTCTCCATCACTGGGTATTGAAGTCGTATACCCTGCCACGTACTCATTCAAATCACAACTGGTTCTCGCGTGAGTGACTGATTTACGTCACTCGATCACCTGGCATAAATTAACGTGGCTGCTTAGTTTTAGATATTGGTCAGGATATATCAGTTATTTGTGTTGATATTGAATAGGTACAACAGGCTTAAATATTTTATCCCTTATTTTTGTATATACTAAACAATCTGCTTAAGGTATGTTTTGACTTCATTTTCGGACTCTAAGTGTTTTAACTTATCCTTTTTATAACTTTTTGATTATCTCAAAGATATGAGTCATTGAGACCAATTAAACCTGCCCTACAAGACGTGATGACAAGCGCAGTCATATCTATACGTCCAACTCCTCAAACTCTTGCACCAGCATTTTCGTCTTCTGTTGTTACCAAACATGAAGTTACTGCTCCATCATCGGTATCGTACAATTCGAAACCTTCTTCTAGTCATATTAATACAAACGAACCAGCTAGTATTACAAAATCTGTCTCTGTTTGTTCAACTTCTATACCGATTTCTGTTGTTCCTGTTAATGTTTCATTGCCGGCGAATACACTTCATATGTCAAGCATATTCAGCGTGAGAACTCGACCAGCAGTTGCTCAATCTGTCCTACCACTAATATCTGTTGGTCCTCAACCAAATCCAGCACTCACACCACAAACTTCACTTCCATCTTTACCATCTCAACCTGCTGTACATTTTATGCCTTTCATCGGAAATATGTCTGGAACAATACCAGTTTCAGCAAACAATACTGGCTTAAGAAATATTGTAAATCCTAGTCCTGCAATACCGATGGCTGGTCCACCGTCTGCACCATGTCCTCCACTTCAAATTTTCAACATGACACCTATGCCACAGTTTGTAGGTAAGTAGTGAATTTTTTTCAAAATAATTTGCTCTTGTTCTTATTATAATAATAATGATTATTTTACTGTTAGTGAGACTATCTGACATAGCTTGAATTCACTGATATTGATGTAGTATGTAGTGATTGATAGTGAATTAAAAAATACTGCGTGATGACAGGATTTCGATTCATTAGTCCTCTATTCTGTTGAATTAGCTACGAGACCTACTTTACGACTACCAGCCTGCCCATCCAAGATCAACTGAATTAGTCACCCCAACAGGCGACAGCCTGCTCCCCATTTTTAATTCAGTTGAGTTATTAAAACCGGCTAAAGAAGTAGTGCAGTGCTGTTCAATTGTTTTTCATTCATTCATATGACTGCGGGAAAAAATCCTTAATGGTTATGTTATGTACTCGTCGCCAAATTATTGTTATGTACTGGTCGAGAATTTAATAGTCCTGACGCAAGAAGGCGGAAATCAGAAGACCACTAGGTTTGCGATGATACTTCTATTTTCCAAACACAAGGAGAATGCAAAAGTGGTATCACACCAAAAGTAAGTGGACACACAAGATTGTGTGAGCGAAATATATATAAATGTCCAGACAAGTGTGTGAACAATCAATAGACAGTCTTAACATGAATGGCCAATTATAATGGAGTATCGATCCATATATACATAGCAAAATATAGCAGACATGTCAACAACCACACATATAATATGGATATATGTCACCAAGCAATGGACTGTCAACAAACACTCATATTATATATAATATAAGGGGGATATACATTGTTAAAGGAGACAGGTTCATCAAAGTGAAATAGTCACAGACTAAGCGAGCAATAGAAAGAGAGACCACCATATATATATATATATATATATATATATATATATATATATATATATATATATATATAGGTACATATCAGGTTATAATGGAGAAATGACCTTTTAAGCGGTTGCGCCTTGTAGTTTATTCAGTGGAATCCTACTATTAGGTTACTTGTTAATTCAGTAGCCTCTAGTTCTAATTCTCCTGTAGCTTAAATTTCCACTACGTAATAATGAGTATGATATGCCCCAATGCCCAAATTTTCTGAAATATATATATGTATATAATACTATGAATATTTAGAAATCATGTTGAAGTAATGCTAATTATCTAATCTGATTGCTCAATTTTTATCATATGGTTTGGGGCGTGAGTCTGTAATTCAATAATTGAAAGTCACGCGTTTAAGCGAGTAAAACAACATATGCTCCTTAGACTTAGGCATTCACTACCTATTCAATGCTTTTCAGGTTTAAATTTCAGCCCCACTTAACTCAGACTGGAAAATCGGATACCATTATAAGCCGTCCTATAATGTGAAATTGATTTGATTATTTACTGTTTTTGAAGTCAGAAACCTCACAGTCTCTTACCTTTCTGAAGTATTGTTCTGTTCATCATTCAAAGTGTTACTAATTAAGGATAATACGCTCAACCACATAAGTAGAATTATAGTTTTGCTATTTTTGTTGTTTAGCTTAAAGAAATTAGTAACAAAATTATGCGTGACAAGATAAGATAACCTAGATATTCACTTTATCAGGCTATAAAATATGCACACACTGATCTGTGTGAGTAAAACTAGAGAGAACAAGATACAGTATAAGCCAATGAGAAGCTTAACTGTTGACTAGATTAAGGTGTACACTGAGCTTAGTTTATTGATCACATTGTTTTGAGTGTAGCCACATCTCAACTTTTATGATAAACTTTCAGTTTTCAGCGTGGCGTACAAGTCCTTTGTGTTAGGCGAAATCTGAATGTTCTGTTATCTGCGTAGGCCATTTATTTTCTCCCGTATTAAATCGTTAGAACTGACTACAAATACTATGAACCAGAGCATGTCAAATTTAGTCTAACTGGAAGGTTTTTACCCAACTTCCTGTCTTTAATATCCATGGCAAGTACTCATATACTGATTACGCTAATCATAAGTATGCACCTTACTGCTTTGTAAAAAAATAATAAACTCTTATTGATTTATGTGTGAAAACTGGCCAAGTAAAGGATTAACTATTTCTCAACCTGTTTATTTTTTTAAAAAGAAACATGGTGGATTAACCTGCAATTTGGGCTTGCTTATCTAAACAACTGACTTTCAACTAATGCACCACTGTTATGTGCCATGCTTCTTTTGCTTCAAATCTGCGAAAGTATTGTTGGTTAGCATAAATACAAGTATAGTTTGTCGTCTGATATATAAAAATGTACTTGATTGCTAAACTATTGTTGTAAACTGCACAATTTAGTCATTGTATCTTTTTTCTTCTCTGTGATTAGGTGCACCTAGCTTCGTATTGCATCCAACCGGCCCACTTCCTGGCCCAAACAATTTTCAATTTCCTCCAGGTCCCACACATCTGTTACCTCCTGGATTATCTGGAGGTACTGGAGTTGGCGGTAATGGTGGTACAACATATAACTTTCTTCAACCACCACAAAATTATGCTCCAGCAATTTTCCCACAAAATCCAAATATTTCTGATTTACTTATTGATTCACAGAATTCAATGGCTCTAGGACATTCTATTCTAGCACCGCCTGCATCGATTGCTGTTATTGGTGCTATAAACAGTGCTAATTCATCGTCACTCACATCTCTTTATCCAAATGTTTTTCATCCACAAAATCAGAATTTTTTCTCAACATCATGTGCACATTCTGGTCCGGTGTCTTATCCATATTCAACTGCACTAGCCAATACTACAAATTTAGTCAATGCAACTACACCACAGATGACTACTTCTTTAGTATCTGGTGGAGTCAGTAATTTATCAAATGAGACAACACATTTCATGTTTCAGTCTGATCTGTCATCTGGTAATCCGTTTGTCTCAAATAATTTCAATCCAAACACAGGACAGTTGTATCAGTCTTGTCAGGTAAGTTAAATGTGTTAGATAGGGGTTGTTACGAAGGTGACTGAATCTTAGAACGATGAGTGATGCTTGAATCTTGAAAAGACGAATGAACCAAGAATTTAGGCTTTATTCATTTTACAATGAAGCCGGAATGGCTTAAACATATAAAGGAAAAAAAGAGTGTTAATAGCGGTAGAGATATGAATATGACTAGATACGTATTATAAGAAAAGTTCACAACATTCACTGCGGCTTGAAAAGGAATGAGCCATTATGTCACGCTTCTCTGGTACGCAAATTGTAAGGCCGTACACGTTGTTGTTTTTCCAAAAGAATACGCCCGTTGTTCGTTTCAGTTGTATTTTCTTCACGAAGAATATTAGGATCAGTGGTCGCATCCCCATTTACTTGTTGCTCAGGAATTGCGTCGCCCTCCGGTATTGAATTTTCAACTTGATCTATATCTTCGCCTTTGGGTGCCAGATGATGAAGAGCAACTGTATCTTCACGTCCATTACCGAAGCGAACGTGAGCGAATTGCGGGTTACAATTCAATAGCTCCACCTCTTCAACCAGGGGATCGAATTTGGACTGACGAACACTCCGCCGGAGAAGTACTGGTCCTGGTACAGTGAGCCAAGTAGGAAGAGTTGTCCCAGATGTCGATCTTCGGTTATAGGTAAACAGTCGTTCGTGTGGCGTGGCGTTCGTTGCAGTACAGAGCAAAGATCTGATGGAATGCAAGGCGTCGAGTAGAACAGACTCCCATTGTGCCGTTGGTAGGCCCCGTGATCTTAATGCTAGAGTGATGGCACGCCAAAGTGTTCCATTGAGGCGCTCGACCTGCCCATTGGCTTGAGGATTGTATGAGGTAGTACGACTGGTTGCTACGCCTTTCTCCAGAAGAAATGCCCGTAATTCGGTAGACATGAAAGCAGCGCCTCTGTCGGTATGTATGTAAGAAGGCATACCGAAAATCGAAAACAGTTGGCAAAGGCAATTCATTACCGTTTGAGACGACATGTCGGGGCAGGCGAATGCAAAGGGGAATCGAGAATATTCATCGATCAGCGTGAGCAGATAGTGATTGCGGCTAGCTGACGGTAGAGGTCCTTTAAAGTCGATGCTTAACCTTTCAAAAGGTTGGGTTGCTTTTATGAGTTTGAAATTAGAGGGATTGTAAAATTGAGGCTTTAACTCACAGCATGTCACGCATTTACTGGTTACATTGCGCACCTCGTCAAGGGAGAATGGAAGGTTTCTCGAGCGTACAAAATGCATCATTCGGACAACTCCAGGATGGCACATAGAGTCATGGAGAAATTTCAAGTCGCACACTGACTGCAAGGAACCGCAGAAACTACGGGAAAATGTATCAGCAGCTTGATTATCCCTTCCAGGACGATAAATGATGTCATATTGATAAGGGGATAGCTCAATTCTCCAACGCATTATTTTATCGTTCTTGATTTTGCCTTTATGAATCTTGTCAAACATGAATGCTACTGAACGTTGATCAGTGACAAGTTTGAAGTGATTTCCGAGAAGGTAATGCTTCCACTTACGAATTGCTTCAACCACGGCATAGGCTTCTTTCTCAACCGATGAATGATGTTTCTCACTTCGAGAAAAGAAGGCGACAGGTTTACCATTCTGGTTTAATGTAGCTGCAATTGAGACATCTGAAGCATCTGTTTCAACAACAAGGGGTGCTTTCGGATCAACTACCACAACGACTGCACGTTCTAAGTCGTCTTTCAGTTTGTCAAAAGCATTTCGAGTTTCGATATCAAGAGGGAAAATCCGATTATTTACCAATGGGTGGATTTTATCTGAGAAGCGAGGGATCCACTGTGAATAATAAGCAAATAATCCAACGGCCCGTTGTTGAGATTTGATATCTGTGGGTGGTTCTAGATCACGAAGAGGTTTTAGCCGATCGGGATCTGGTTTAATAACCCCTTTGAAACTTCATAACCGAGTAATTGTATGCTTCTGCTTGAGATCACACTTTTGGAATCATTAAGGGTTATTCCATAATTGCGTGCTGCTACCATAAACTTGTTTAGATTTTTGTCGTGTTCCTCCTGAGTTTTGCCGCAGATAGTGACATTGTCAATGTAGGCAAACGTGCTTGTGAGTTGTTCTTTACTGATCAATTCATCGATAATGCGTTGAAAACAAGCTACGCCATTGGTAACACCAAAAGGAATTCGGCAAAATTGGTAAAGTTTCCCACAAGCCTCGAAAGCAGTATATGGTTTATCTTCGTTCCTTAGGGCAATTTGATGATAAGCATTCTTCAGATCAAGAGTGCTGAATATGTCATATTGTGCGATTTTTTCTATCATTTCGTCAATCCTAGGTAATGGGTAAGCATCCAGAAAAGTGAATCGATTGATTGTCTGACTATAATCAACTACCATCCTCTTTTTATGGCGTTCGTTTGACGTAACAAGAACTTGAGCTCGCCAAGGAGAATTAGAAGGTTCAATAACACCTTCTTGCAGTAACCGGTTGACTTCGGTGGAAATAAAACTTTCATCTTCACGAGAATAACGCCGGGATTTTATCGCGATCGGTTTACAGTCTTTTGAAAGATTTTCAAACAGAGTAGGCAGGTCGACGCGAACACAAGGTAGACCACAGAGAGAAAAAGGCGGCTTTGATCCCCCAAAAGGAATCTCAATGTGTTTGTGAAGTTTTAAAAAATCATGTCCAAGAAGGACGTCTGCACATAAATTATGAAGAATGGAAAATTTGAATAGATCATAAGTGTGGTTTTTATAGCAGATGGATAGAAAACAATGTCCTTCAGTATGACTAGTAAGATTCGTACTCGCCATTGTGATTCTGTTTCGAGACTTATGGACTTTCCAGTTATACTTACGAACAACTGAGGAAGAGATGTAGCTCTCACTGCTTCCGGTATCCACTAGAGCTTGCATTGATTTCCCATTGACAGTAAGCTGCGTAACAGCATCAGTGAGACTTTGAGGTGCTGAAGCCACAACGAGAGATGAAATTATAGAGTTAACTGAAGATGGACCTTTTTTCGTAGATGGCGCAGACCTGCAAACCTTCTGAAAATGTCCTTGCTTGCCACAAGCTTTGCAAACTGCATCACGGGCGGGGCATTTGGAACGAGGATGTCTACGATTACCACAGAAAAAGCATTTGGATTCAACGGCAGCAATGGTTGTTTCATTGACGGAGGGTGTGGAATCTGATGAATGAGGTACATCATGTAAAGAAATGGACGCGCAAGGTGTAACAGGATTGTTGTATGACTGCGATTGTTGATGTGCCATCTCTAGAGCTCGTGCTTGATCGTATGCCGCTTGAAAAGTTAAAGTACGCTGTTCTAATAGCCTCTGGCGTATCATCGAAGACTGTATACCTGAGATGAATGAATCACGTAGAGATTCGTTACGATGTTCTTCGGCTGTAACTGCCCTGAATGAACAATCTGTAGTCAGCGACTTGAGTCGACGAACAAACTGATCCAGATTTTCGCCAGATTCTTGTTTACACGTTGCTAACAAGTGTCGAGCAAACACTTCGTTGCAAGGCTGCATGTAGAGACTCTTGAGAGTGTCGATAGCTTCTTCGTATGTTTTGCATTCAGAAATGCATTCGTATACAGAAGTAGAAATATGATTGAAGAGAATATGTAGTTTCGAAGGATTTTCGGATCCCATTGATTCAATGAAGTAGGAAAAAGTCGCAAACCAGTGATCCCACTTCTTGGCAGCTCCAACTGCGTTAGGTTCTACGTCGAACCGATCAGGTCGGAAAAATCGTTCCATGAATATTGTAAAATGAATAAATTGTTACGAAGGTGATTGAGTCTTAGAACGATGAGTGATGCTTGAATCTTGAAAAGACGAATGAACCAAGAATTTAGGCTTTATTCATTTTACAATGAAGCCGGAATGGCTTAAACGTACAAAGGGGAAAAAGAGGGTTAATAGCGGTAGAGATATGAATATGATTAGATAAGTATTATAAGAAAAGTTCACAACAGGGGTAATCATTGAAATAGGGTTCAAATCAGTGACCTCCGGGTTATCTATCTGATGTATCAACTGTTATGTGGGTAGTATTGCAAAGATCATGCCCAGATTACTTATAAAAAATAATATAAGATAGTGGATGCAGTCATGAGTACCTACTAACTATTTTTTATTATTTATTATTGTCCTCTTGGGTTCCGCTTGGAACACAGGACTTCCACAACACACCTCCACTTCACTCTCTCCTCTTCAGTCTTCTTTAGGTAGCCACACGTTTGTCCCTAAGTCTTAATGTCTCCTCCGTGTCACGCTGGACACAGGCCCAAATCGTTGTCTCCCACTCCTGTTCCCCTCGAGCTATGGCCTGACATACAGTGTCACGCGACGGTCTCCAGAGCGTATGTCCTATCAATCTCCATTTTCTTCGATATATCTGTTTAACAATAGGCTCTTCGTCGGTTAGTTATCAGAGTTTCTTGTTTCTAACTCTTTCTGGTCGGCCATTTGACCTCAGTATGGAGCCAGCGAAAGCAACTGTTGATAAAAGTCTGAAGTCTTTTCGAAATGCTCTTCATGATTCTTGTACCGATTGTTGTCTTCACTGCCTGTTGGTTTTCGCCTGTAAGTCTTCGAGTTTGTGTGATATTAGACATAAATCATCCGCGAAGGCTAAGTCTTGTAGAGTCTTTATGTCTGCCCAGCGTATTCCTGTCCACAGTCTGCTGTATAGTCCTGTCCACCACATTTAGGAATATCATCGGTGATAGTAGTCAGCCTTGTCTTACTCATGTCCCCACTTTCGAAGCTCCTCTGAGCTTTCTGTTTTGGATCACCTGATACGTGGTATTGTGATATAACTGTGGTTGAATGGAGTTTCACTCCATAGTGCTGAAGCAGTTTTATCCCTATCGAACTGGTGCTTACTGAAATACTTTAGAGTAACCCTAAGCTAATGAGTTTATATTGGCAAGGTTGCACCCGACCGAAAGCTGCTACCTTGACGTGGTGGTCGGGCTTGAACACCGCAATGACCTAATCAAGCTATACTGGCTGAGACTTATGTCTCTTGAGGTTCTACCATGCCAGGCAGGTTGTTTGGATAGCGGTTAAACAAAAAGCAGCTACCTCATCCAATACCATGATCCAAACAAATTCACAAAATTTCATGCCGGATCGGCCGTGGCCCGGATTAACAACGACCGCGCTTCCTGCTGCCGTGTCACAGGGCGGGAGTGATAAGTATGCTACTGAGGCACACAAAACAACAAAGAACGAACAAAAACAGGCCGCGTGTGACCGGCCTCAAGCAGTTGTCCCCTGGGCTCTGCGGTCACGCAACCAACTTCCACGGTGTGGGCAGCCGGGAAGTAACAATCGCCCTCACAATCCAAAACGCACACAAAACCTCTCTAATCCTCACTTATCTTTGTCTTCATCTTCATCTCTATTACCTTACCTTCCCCCAGTGATGCAACTCCTCTACTTGATGGCTCCTCACTCCCTCTTCACTCTGTGTCCACTAAAAACGACGAAAGCCAAAAAACCACCACGGATAGTCTCCTAAAGCCACGCCACCAATTTCATATAGGAGCATTTAATGTAAGAACACTTTGCCAAATAGGACAACAAGCATCACTAGCTAAGACCCTGGCATCTCGAGCCATTGATGTATGTTGTGTTTCAGAAACACGCATACAAGACCCAAGTGTGGTTATTCACCTAACCCCACCTGGCCAACAGGATGAATCTTCAAAATTCACCTTGAGGGTGTCAGGAGATGCCACAGCTAGTTCACGGGGATTAGCTGGCGTAGGGATAGCTCTGAGTACTAGGGCAGAAAAGACATTGCTTGACTGGATCCCGGTAGATAGCCGAATGTGTGCTGTCCGTCTGAACGGATCAGTAAGAAGGAGAAAGGACTGCACTACTCGCCGATGCCTTTTCGTAATCTCCGCCTACGCCCCCACTGACTGCAGTTCGGATGAAACGAAGGATGAGTTCTACCAAAAGCTGTCTAGTTTGGTGAGAAAGGCTAAACGCTCAGATATAGTCGTTCTAGCTGGTGACTTCAACGCTCAAGTAGGGAAATTGTGTCAATCTGAGAAGGATGTCGGTGGCACCTATGGAGTTCCGTGCCAGCGAACCGACAACGGTGACCGTCTCCTACAGTTCTGTTCAGATAATCATTTGTTTCTTGTAAGCACTAACTTTAAACACAAGGAGAGACACTGTTTAACCTGGCGACCCCCATCATCAAACCAACGCTGGACACAAATAGACCACATAGCAATAAGCTATCGTTGGCGTGGGTCGGTAGGAGATTGTCGCTCCTTCTGGAACACGTGTGTAGATACCGATCACGCACTGGTCCGGGCTCGTGTGTGCTTACGACTGAACGGACGTAGGAAACAGCTGGCGGTAAAACCATCACGCCCCCAGCTCGATCAGGAAACTAAATCCCTATTTGAGGAAGAACTAGCTAAACGCATATCTGAATCGACAGCTGTGCTCACCCTGGAGAAGCCTGGAAGAATATTCAGTCAGCTATAGATACAGCTGTAAAAGCTGTGAATAAGACAAATCCAAAGGTGAGTAAAAACCACTGGATTTCGACTGCCTCATCCGAACTGATAGATGCTAGAAGACTTATTCCGGCGAGCTCCGAATTCAATGAGGAGCGAAAGCTGCACAAAAGGAAACTTACTAAAAGTCTCCGCAAGGACCGTGAACAGTGGTGGGTGACAAAGGCGAAAGAGATGGAAAAAGCATTGGCGATAGGCAACACTAGGCAACTCTTTAGACTCATCACAGAATCGGGCGGGAGAAGGCAATTCATAAGTGAGACTATTTCTGAGAAAAATGGCTCCTTAATTAGCTCTCAGGATAGACGCCTTGAACGCTGGAAAGAACACTTTGAGGAACAATTTAACTTGCCTACAGCCACACTGAACCTCCCCGCCATCCACCACGTACCCGAATGGGATATAGACACTGGTCCGCCGTCTGTAGGTGAGGTTACAAAAGCTATCAGTAATTTGAAACGAGGCAAAGCGGCAGGACCCGACGGAATTATTCCGGAGGTGTTTAAATATGGGGGTGACATACTAGTTTGTAGATTAACTGAGGTACTAGGCAAAGTCTGGGAATCAGAGACAGTACCATCAGACTGGGGTAAGTCACTCATTATACCGATATTCAAGAAGGGAAACAAGTCCTCGTGTGATAATCATAGGGGGATCAGCCTAACGAACATAGTCTCTAAAATCCTAGGCTCAGTAATCATGCATAGACTAAGCAGAACTCGGGAGGAACAGACAAGGGAAAATCAAGCAGGCTTTAGACCAGGTAGAGGGTGCATAGATCATATCTTCACTCTTCGACAGATTCTAGAACATAGACACACTTTTCGGCGTCCAACAATTGTCATATTTCTTGACTTGAAGGCGGCCTTCGACTCCGTGGACCGAAAGGTACTATGGCAATGTCTGACTGTGAAGGGAGTGCCAAGAAAGTACATTGCACTAATCAAGGCACTCTATTCAAACTCACGTAGTCGTGTAAGGGCTTATGGGGAATTGTCATCTGAATTGGTAACAACCAGTGGTGTCCGACAGGGATGTCCACTTTCCCCATTTCTGTTTAACTTCATCATAGATATGCTAATGGAAGTATCCTTAACTGAACGTAGTGACTTAGGAATCGACTTGTTACCAGGGAATAATCTTATGGACTTAGAATATGCAGATGACATAGTCCTGTTAGGGGAGGATGCTGACAAAATGCAGAGTCTTCTGAACACCTTGAGCAGCAATCTTCGTATGTTTGGCATGCGATTCGCCCCTGCAAAATGTAAGATGCTGCTACAGGACTGGACACGTCAACCCTAACTTAGTGATAGGGAGTGAAGTGATAGAACATGTTGACCACTTCACCTACTTGGGAAGTTGTATTAGCACCAACGGACTGATTGGCGATGAAATCTCAGCACGGATCCGAAAAGCTCGAGCTGCTTTCGCTGACTTACACCATCTCTGGCGTAGGCGTGACATCCGGTTATCAACCAAGGGACGTGTGTACTGCTCATCAGTTCGCTCCGTCCTTCTCTATGGCTCTGAAACATGGCCAATACGCGTTGAAGACATGAAAAGGTTGACTGCTTTCGATCATAGATGTCTGCGATCTCTGTCTCACGTTAGGTGGTTTCACAAGATAAGTAATGTTGACGTTAGGCGTAGAGTGTTGGGCAAAGAGGGAAAATCAATCGACGAGGTTATAAAGTTACATAGACTAAGATGGCTAGGTCACGTGGTGCGCATGCCTAACCACCGCCTCCCCCGACGGGCATTGTTAGCTGATATAGGTTCAGGTTGGAAAAGAGCCAGTGGTGGCCAAACAAAAACATGGCATCAATCCATGAAATCCTTGACAGTTAAACTGAGTCAGGTAGGGAGATGCAGACTCCCGGGTTGGGGCCCTCGGGACTCTAGGAATCAATGGCTGGAGACAATAGGTGACATGGCTCAAAATCGTTGTCAATGGCGCAGATGTATTCAATCTCTGTAATCTTTCATATTCCTTTCTACCATTACCCATTCTGTTTCACTCTTATATCTGTCAAACTCTATAAATTCTCTTCACTCATCTTCTTGTCTACCTCTGTGTGCTATTTGGAAGGTGGCAACTCGAACTGCTGCACTTCGGTGCCAAGTTCTATGTTGAATCCAGACAGACAGACAGACAGGTTGCACCATAAAACAAATTTATCTTCTGTTCTACTATCGATATAGAAAGATAAAGTTCGTAAGCCAGCTGACATCTGTAGTTGGAAGTTTGGATTAATATCATAGAAAATTTGTCCCAGTCGCCTATGAAAGAACCTCTGAAATCATAATGCATCCATCCATCTGTATGTTATATGTTTTTAGAAATGTCTGATTTTCTCAAACGAACTTTAATTGCTTGGAAAGCCTGGGAGTACTGGACAGCTGGTTCGTCCTAGTTTGGGACTCTTCATCGGTACGCACCCACCATAGGAGTTCCATCCCAGGACCCTCTATTTACAAAACGGGCTAGTAGACCATTAAGCCACTGGGACCCTATCTGATGGCCAACCCATGAATTCTAACTTCTGCCAATCCATGTCATAGGCGACCACCTCTCAATGTCTTCTTCGATGAGTTACTGTCTCACCTTCAACCTGCTGTTCCCTACTGGTCACAGCTTCATGATGAAATCCTCCAACCAATCAAACGGGATTTGAACCGTGGACACATTACCTAGAATTTGAGCACCTGTGTCAATCAGCCACATCTTGACAATGTAATTCTCTTCCTGCATTCTTTTTCACCAGTAATATTTTTTCATCTCTCCCGCTTTTGTCTTTCCCTTTCAGTTTCCTACATTTCATAATCCATTTCAAGCTAATGATAATTGTTCAATTAATAATTTTGTCTCATCCGCCTTACCAACTGATTTAACTTCAACCTGTGATAGTAAATCATCTTTAAGTGGAACATGCATGCCAACTTATTGGCCGCTGGTCAATACCTCTGGTACTGGCGGTGATATGACGACGACAACGACGACGACAGCAACAACAACAACAGCAACGCCGTCAGCAAATGTTCAGGTTTCACACTCAGATAATCCAACAAACTTTATATCATCAATGAATGATTTTGGAATGAAAAGTCGAGCACAAGATACAAATGCTGATAATAAGAGTAATAATAATCATAATAATAATGGATTAAATAATCTTGAAAATATCACAACGTCCAGTACAGTCAATACAAACCTATTGTGTTCATCATTTAATGGAATTTCAGTGTCAAATGTTATGGTAATGTGTCTTCTATCTTGTCGTATTTTTCTATTTTATTTCATTCGCATTTCCAATGGAACATGGGGCTTCAAGCTATAGCTTTGAAGCTTCTATAAGCATATAGTGCCAATTTTATGGGTTGGGGTTGCTAGTCTCACACCCAACTTCTTCCCTTTTTACTGGGTTTACTTCTCGTTAATAGGTGTAGGTGTGTGTGTTGTCGACCGGGGGGGGGGGTGATCGAACCCCTAACCACATGCGTGGTTGGCGAGCATTCTACCACTGCACCACCTATATGACGCATTATTTTATCGTGTGTTGTTATTATTCAATTGACTTTTGTGTTATATTGTGTTCTGTGAATGTCTCTAACTAGATCTTAAAGTAATCTAAATATCATAAAGTTGGAAAGCAATACTAACATAGTTCCGATTACTACTCATTCAGTTATATATACACTAGTGACTCATAACAATAATTCTTTACGATATTTCAATGATGGTGAATTTAGTTATTCTGAAGGCCTGTGCACTATACACTTTAAGCGATGTATGATGTTATGACCTCAGGTTGATAGGCTGTTATTGATATACTGAGTGCTGATCGAAGGACAAAATAGAGATTTCATGAAAACAAAACACATAGGTCAGCGAAAAGTCTCTTTTTAGCGAATTAATTTTCCTAGCTATATAATCGCAAATATATGTTATTTTGTATGTATGTGTACATTAAGTTTGTCAAACAAAATTACATTTGATTACGGTTATTTTAACTAAACAGGTGAAGATTGGTAATACAAGTCAAGAAAATTAGGTCTTAATGGAATTAGGGTTTTATGCACAGCTCCGGTTTTTCTATGTGAATGACCAGAGCTTCACCTATACAAAGAAGACGAAACCGTATTGGCTTTGGTAGGTTATTCTTGACTCTGTAGATTACTTTGAAGGAGCCGTTTGTTGAGACAGAATGATCAGTGTTAACCAGGTGTTCAATTATCGCACTCCTTGTAACACCACTATTGCCTTTTCGCAACCACGCTGGATAGTGTTCTTGAATCCTCTTGGACAGGTTGCGTGTCGAGCGACCGATACAGCTGGCTCCACAGCAGCAGGTGAACTGATATATGCACATAGAAGTGGTCAGATGCGGGATCTTGTCCTTGAGGCTTCTGCAGATCAGTGGGCGACTGCAGAACACTATTCTTAGCGTTGGTGCAAAGAATGTTTTTCACAGAGATGATGCGATCCTTCTCTTGAGAATATCGCTTGTTAAATCTCCCTTGAAATCCAAGTTCATGTAGAGTTTTTTTCGGTGCAAGTGAGATTTGGATCTCAGCAGTATCCAAAATAAGCAGCTTCCGAATTACTAGTCCGGCTCGAGCCGGATCATGTATGTATCATGATAAACAAACAGCAAGATATCATTTGTTCTTATGATAGCTGGTTATTCCAATGGAAGTATGACCTCGTTAACAGTTCGTCTTGTAGCTTCGCTGGTAGATTATCGAACTAGTGAAATTTGGAGGCCCCTTGCTGGAATTCTACTATGACCCACTTTCACTGCGCCTTCAGACTCTTAAATTGTTTAGTTTATTTGAATAACTGCTTTCTGCTGAAACGTTGTAGCTAACATGACTTCAAATAAGTAGGTCACAAGTTTGAACTGCTCCCCCCACAATACATTTGCCCAAGTCATAGTATGCCTTGTATAAAGCATTAATCATGTATGAATGTGTTCTAGCAAAGTTGCTAAAATGAATAGTATAAGGTCCATAGACGAATATCAATGACAAAAGAACATGAAAATGCTTAGTACGCGCATCCTGACTTACAAATCTGAAGTGTCCCACTCTGACTTTTACCACCATGTAGTTGGAAATTTCATCCATCACAACACTATTACTCATAGTTATAAAAAATTTCCATTTCTCCCAATGATTCACCTGCGAGGCAATATTCTCTGCATACTGAAGGTTAAACACTCTTCCTTCAATTACCAGACATATCTCCCATAAATATCCTCAAAATTTTATCATTGGTGGAATTAAATTTAAATGTGAAAATTAGGTGATCATGTGTAAGTAATGTCAATGTTAGTTGTAAATATTGATCATAAGCAGTTGTATACTCCCACTCTACTTGATATTTATTTATTCTATTCCCTTACATTCCGACTAGAACACACTACTTTAAGCAGGAGATTTGAAGTTTCACTGAGACGTGGAGTTGCTTCTTACGAGGTGGGGTTGCTAGCCTCATGCCTCACCCTACTATCGGCTTATCGAGATTTAGAAATTCGCCAGTCAACAGTAGAACTCCAGACCATGTGGGAGGTGAATGGTAGACGCAATATTATAATTTATTTCCATTTTATTATTTCTTTGTTTACTCAAAATTGTGATGATTAAGTGTGTTGTCTTTTCTTGTCAACCTCAGGCATCAAATAATCTTCGTTTAAAAAGTGATGGTGCTACAACGAATTCTTTTGCTTACGTTAATAATAATAACAACAATAATAATAGTAATGATAATAGTATAAAGAATGACAGTGGAAATATTAACACTAGTAATATTGGTATTAATGGTTCTTCTTTAATGCCATCGAATTCAACAGCAATTGTTTTACCAGCTATTCGTCGTCGACGTCGTTTATTTGCTCAGAGTGGTATAAAACCAATTACAAATGTTATTCAAACTCCTATGCTAAATCATGCCAATCTAATGATGAATGAGGATAATTCTGTTCTCATGAATAATACAAATGTTAACAATATGTGCAATGTTGTAACTACAGAATCAAACATTATACATAATACATTCACTCATAGTGATAATAGTAACAGAAGTGTTAATGACACTATGAATACTGAAAATATGAACAATAATACACAAATAGGGCAAGAAAATCAGGTAGGTGGCAGAGAAGAATTGAAACAGCCTAATACACTGCAAGTAAGTTAATTGTACTTATTATGAAGTGTGCAGTACCATTATTGTTATTATTATTATTATTACTGGCAATAGTAATGTTATTCTCAATAGTATCATGAAACCATAGATAAATTAATGTGTATGGTAAAGAAAATGATTTATTATGGCTGATTTTTCTATCCGATTTAAGTGTTGAGCAATAGGGTGAGCAATATTGAGGTTAGGCGTCGAGTGCTAGGTAAAGAGGGGAAATTAATAGACGAGGCTGTGAAGTTACATCAATTAAGATAGTTAGGACATGTCTTACGCATGCATTCCTAGCCATCCATCGCCTTCCTCGACGGCGGTCAATGTTAGCTGACAAAGGATGGATCGGGTTGAAAAAGAGCCAGTGGTGGTCGAACGGAAACATAGCTTCATCAGTCAACGGTTAGTTTAAGCCACATAAGAAAAATGTAGACTGTGTGTCTGGTTGGGGTCCTTGGGACGGCAAAAACCAATGGCTGGAGACGATTGGTGATATGGCTCAAAATCGTTCTCAGTGGCACAGATGCATCCACTTCTTGTGACTTATTTTGCCCAATAAAACTATATGGCTCTTCGATATTAATACTGTTTTTGCTTCATATCTTTGTTTACTGTCTCTATTTTGCATTTCTTTTTACCTTCTTCTCTTGCTTTGTGTACTAGGTGAACTGTGGCGACTCGAACTGCTGCACACCGGTGCAAAGTTCTATGTTTAAACCAGACAGACAGTTATTCGTATAAACTGTCTTTTAGAAGACTATATATATATATATATATATATATATATATATATATATAATTTTCTTAGCAACAAAAGGTTTCCATTAGAGAGGTAGTCCGACTCAAAAATAACTTTCCTGGATGCCCAGCTCAGAAGATGTGAGCAAGATGGAACACTGGAAAAACCTATCTACAGAAGGACAACATAGAGCGGATAACTCACGAACTTCCACAACCTGTCGTGGTCACTAAAAAAACCCTCCGCAGCCGAACTGTGACTAACTTTCTCAACAAAATCAGTGATTAGTATGACCGTCAAGCATAAGTACAACCACTTCTGGCCTAATCAATGTGCATCTATGAATTCACCTGCTCGTGTGGAGTTAGATATGTCGGCCGTACTTACCGTTTGCTATCCAGACGTATCCTGTAATAGTTAACCCTATGGAAGTAGGAGGATCTTCACTCTACTCTACTCTGAAAACACCTGGTCGACTCTGGACGTCATGCGAATCCGTAAACTGACTTCTGAGTCATCTACAGAGCATGCGGTAATATCTCTAAAAGAGTATTAATCAAACTTCTTCAAACTGCAGAAACGATGTCAATCCACGTGTTAAATCATGAATTCTGCATTCAGAAGTAGTTTGTTCAGTCATTGAACCTACAGTGGACCTAACTTTGTCTTAACACTAGATACGTAATTTTTACTAATCCAGTTATTTTTTTTCTATCGCATTATTTCTCTCCACTGCGCACCCGCATTGTTACATTTCTACTCCTTATGTCATTGCTCTTAACTTGACTCTTTCAATTTCAGTTGAATTCTGCTCAGTCTTGTCAATTACATTGCGCAGCACAGTTTGCTTATTTAATTTTATTTTAGTTTCTACCTGATTAACGCTTCCCGTGTTACATAACTGTTATCTAAAATTTACAATCCTAATGATACATCTTTGGGAATGCTCGCCGAAGACATTGGTTAATGGTCGCGCTATGTCGTGAATTGGCATAAGTTGGAATCCATGGGCCATTGGATCGGTTCCCAGTGGCTTTATTGCCTTTGAGCTCGCCTTATAACCAGAAGGTCCTGCGTTCGAACCCCGGTGAGTGTGTACTGCTGAAGAGTCCCAAACTAGGACGAACCAGCTGTCCAGTACTCCCTCGTTGTTTACCAATGGTTCTCTAACTGATGTCAGCTCATGATGAAATCCTCCAACCTCACCTGGTATCCTTAGATTATGCGTGAGCATAGGGTTTAAATTGGATTTCTTTCGATTGTTTTAGATTTGTATTTGTGATTATTTTCCAATTTTCTATCCTATTTCTCTTTAACATTACTGTCCACCTATTTCAGCAATGGACTCATCCACCAATGAAATTCAACCGTTTCAAAGTCCACGCCTACATTCTTTCTTACAATTTAATTTATTTCTACGATTTTATTGGTTGTTAATTCTGCTAAATAAATATTTGTTTTCTAGTGTTAACCTATCCTTTAGCTTATAATCTATTGGTCTTTTGTCGCTTTTTTTACTCTGCTGTTAATGTTTTTCTAATATGAAACATGTCTGACCAACTTTCATATAGTGTTTGTACAAATTCATTTGCATCCCTCTCAGATAAATTTAAGAGCAGTCAATGTCCAGTGTTGGATGAGAGAAGATAAATTAGGATACTATTTAGTGACAGGATATTCTTGTTAGGAGAAAGATAGAAAATTAAACGCTTCGATGTGTGGTATATTGTAGATCATAGTGACATAAAATTGTTCAGTAAAGATTACCTTAGGCACAACTTCATAATTAATGCCATTTCATAATAGCTGAATTCAAAACATTGTCTAGTAAGTGATGTTATACCATTGTGAAGTGTACAGTATACATAGGTAGTTGGAATCTGTGGTTGACAGACTGAAACTTGTTCCTAGTCCATGGAGTTGATTGTTAGTTGCAGCATGAAAAGTATGGCGTTAAATGTCTCACTTTCACAATCCAGTTGAAGTGCATAGAGTCATAGGTCTGTGAAACCAAAACTAATTGATTTGAATCGTACCACTCTTTTCAATTTTTAAAAATATAATTAATTGTCAAAACTACTGTGCTTTCAGTCAGTGAGGTTCCAGTTGCGAGTCCCATTCCGTACGCCTCGGCCTGGGTAACTAGGTAGTTATTATCAGTCTCCATACAATCAGTGTGCTTTAGTCTGGTACGTGAGAAATCTGTCCTGGAGTGAACCATTTCTCACATCTGCTAACAAATGCTAAAAATTCCATGCTGTATCATAAATAGTGTTTTGATTAGAATAAAGCAGATTATTGTCATTAAATTGGATTCACTGTACAGTACAGTGGTTGGTAAATTTGTTTCCTATTCTTTCCTCGTCATCTTTCCACTTCTATCTGGTTGGCACTCCAGTGGTCAAAATTGATATATCGCTGTAGATCATCATTTCCCGTTATATCATTAATTTTTCAGTGCGAAGGCATTATCAGCGTGAATAATAATAATACATCCCAGTGGTCATCAGAGATCCAAGTAAAATACTACAAGTTTCGATAAGTGCTCCATAGATTCCGCACTTAGACTTGTATGTTGCGATGAACCGCCAATTTTTACTAACTGTTGTGAATGCTCCTCAAGGACGTGTCATGCTGCATAGGTCGTATGGATATCCGCCTAGTTACCAACAGTCTCTGTCATAGTGTTAGTTGCATATATTTCCTTATTTTTGCGGTCTTACTGCCAGCGGATATAATGTAGCAGCTGCCAAGAGTGTCCTTCGGCAGACTCTCAAGCTAGGTATACCGCAAGTAGATCTTGACTTATCCTGCAATGGTAAGGTTTTCTCTATTGACGAAACTTCGAGAATTTTTCAATCTTCTAGTAAGCCTTACTTAACCGGCCTGAAGCAGCGATCCCCCAGGTTCCATAACGCTACAGAGCAGAAGAACCTTATGCACAGACTTCAGAGGATGCTGTTGGTATATTATTGAGTAGAATAATTATGACACTAGTCAGTGCATAAAAATCCAAGATATTTTCAGCGGGATTGGTTTAGATCCTCCATTATTCCAGTACTTAAAAAGGGGAATATTCTTCCTGTAATATTTACTAGAGGAGATCAGGTTGCCTAACATGCTAGATTCCATAAGCATAAGTAAAACAAATGGGTCTCCTGAAGAAATGAACAGGTAAGAGAACCAGACAAAATTCTGTTCTGGTTGAAGACATGATTTACCAAACGTTCACTATGACAGGTTGAATAGCAGTGTTTATTTTTATTTTCATTTCTCTTCATTTTTTCATGTACACAGTGTGCTTATCCACAGTTATCTACTGTTAGCAGTTCTGATGTTACTTTTAACAATAAACCTTTAAAACAATTTGTTGAAGATACACGACTATTCAAAAGTTTGCCTACTGAAACAAGAGGACATGATCACAAGTTGTTGGGGGATTCATTTACTGAAATGTATGTATTTTTTGATATTAATTATATTAATAACTTTTTTTTCCACTGAATTTATCATAGGCTTTGCTTTCAATTGTGCAAAGGTGACATTATCAAAATAGCAATAGTCACACTATCAATATTAATACAATTCTAATACTGAGTAACTACGATCACTGAACTGTAATGCAGTATTTATTATTCTTATTCCCATGGGTTCCAAGTGGAACATAGGGCTTTAGCAACACATCTCCACTGTGTTCTATTTTCTGCCATCCTCTTCAACTGGGTCCACGATTACCCATAATCTCTCATCTCTTGTAATGCAGTATATGTAGCGTGAATTTAGTATGACCACAATAGAAAACTTGATCACTGGGTAGACTTTGTTCAACCTAATAAGTACGTATTAACCAATTATGTATATACGATATTGTCTTTCTATGAACCGAAATCTTAATATATTTGGCATGCAATTCAATTCTGTCATATGTGAAATGATCCCCTGTAGGTTGGTCTGCATTGGTTTGAGAAGTAGTTAAGCGTGCTGTCGATAATTCCACTTTTTTAAGAGGGGGTTTGGCAAAGAATACCCGATGATATTAGTCCTAGATTTAAGAGATTATAACTTTTATTTGTGTAGAGTTATGACGAATAGTTATGCATTGTGCATAATACTAGATACACTCTGGCGTATATGTGTTGCTTATTGGAGTCCAAGCATTCAGCATACAGTTAGTGTGTGTGTGTGTGCTGTGTTTGAATTCCGTTCCACCTACAACTAAGTAGTATCATCAGCCATCATTCAATAATTGTAACGTGCAGTCTGCGAAATGGAAAATCTGTTTTGGGCTTCAATTAGTATGTAAGCTGGTGATGGAGTAATCACTAAAAGTGGATTCTGTGTGTGAATTTATCAACCGTATCATCTTAGCATTCAATGTCACATACATATATCATTAGTACATATACGATATACTGAGCGAATAAATGGGATGATGTAACATAAATGACTGGAAATTGAGCGTTGGTCAAGTCACTTACAGTGATAATGAGGTGTAGAAATTAAATCGGGTGGGGTAGGGAACAGGGAAGTTGACAATGTAAAATATTACAGTTGAGAAGACAAAATGATATTAATGAAGAGACAGAAAGAAATAGAATTTACCTGTTGGACATTAAGATAGATTACGTTCATTGTAAGTGTAGTGATTAAACAAACTTCTTCTGTATGCAGAGTTCAAAACTTAGCAAGTGAATTCCCATTGCTTCTGCAGTTTGAAGAAGTTTGAATCGTACACTTTCAGGAAGACTACTTCGTATTCTGTAGACGACTTTGAAGTGTGTTTAGGGTGTAGCTTGGTGTCCACAGAATCTATCAGATGTCCTAAGATAGAGTTGCGAGGGCATCGTTTTTCTCCTTATCCGTTGTTGTTTTTGTTTGTTTTTCATTCAGGCAAGAAAATGATTCAATGGAGTTGGATATCACGATGAAAACTTCTTATGCATCCTCCCCATCATCAACCCTGTCGTCATCCTCATCATGTGCATCTTTTGTAAACACTTGCAGAACAACACAAATAATAACGGCAACAGATAACTGTGTATCAAAAGCTAACAGTAACAGTGGAAATACTTGCGTGCTGCCGAAGTTAACATCACCTCAAATCCCAGATTCCCAGAGTTCTTTAAATGCTGCTAACTATCAAGGTAATAACGATAGCAGTTTACCATGTTCAACTTCACTACCTTATTCCTCTGACAATAAATTATCATGTAAAAACGATGATTTTATACTCAATGAAAATACGAAATTGTTAGCAGCAGAAAAACAGTATGATAATGTTGATGATGGGGATGACGATGAAAAAAGCGAAAAATGTCAAACAATTATTCCTGGTCAACATGATTATCAGAAAGCAGTAGTAGATTCAAAATCTGATGAATCATTTTTCAATGTACACCAAACATCAGTTCAATTGTCAAGTACAACTATTACTACCAATACAGCGATAACAACAACAACACCATCAACGACTAATACTACTACTACTACTACTACTTCGACTGTTAGTAGTAGTACTTCATGTCCTAAATTAAAGTCAACAACACCTTTCCAATTTCCACCTCCACCTGTATTAATTGGTTTAGATGACAGGCGTATATTAACTCATTATATTGATGGTCATGTTATCTATGAAAGTGATAAACCATTCCCTGTAAGTGTGTCGCCATCTATGAAATTGATGAAAACATTTCTTTTTCCTGTTGTAAATTTAAAACAATCAACAGCTGTGGTAAAAGAAAAGCAGTATTTCATAACTGAGTACTATTCGGTGGAGGGACTCGTCAGCTAAATAATATTCGTCTACAGACATTGTTATTTTTTATACAATAATTTTAAGGTTAACATACATCCATGCAAACAGATGAACATTGTGATAAAGAAAAATAAGCATCAATTTCAACAAGTATATGATCTATGCATGGTGAGTGCTAGATAATCTGTTAACACGATCATTATTAAGTGAGCAATATTCATCAATCAAGGCATATACTAATGAATAAACTGGAGTTATTGTGATACGAAATTAATAGAATTATGAACACCTAGATGTGATGATGATGATGATAATAATAATAATAATATTGAAATACTAGGGAGTTTGTTAAAAACACAAATAAATTAAATATGTGTAGAGCATATCGGAATTAATATATCTGAGCTTAACTCACTAGATTATTTGCGCACTCTTCACGAAGATTACTTACTATTTACGTATGAGTTTTCGATTTGCACACAAATCGTAAGACGACTAACAGTATGTCAGATAAATTAATAATAATAATAAGAAGAAGAATGGAGAGGATGTTGTAAATAGAAAGAGTAAGGAGGATTGTAAGTCTAGAATAAAAGTATGCTACCAATGTGGATTGAAGCTGACTACTGTCTCTTTTTGTGTACAAAGATCTGACTTCCTTAATCTGATTCTGCAAGCTTATTACGTTGCTTATTGATAACTATAAAGCTCTTACTCAACATCACCGTATCATCTTAGTCCATTAAATGTCGTGTAGTCGTTCTGTCACAAGTACTAGAATGCCATTTGGATAGTGTTTGGCAACGGGAGCCGAAAGACATCTTTTCGCACACATGTAAATTGACATATACATTTTGATTCGAGGAGGTTCCATGTCTTATGGCTGCCTGTTGTTTGCACTATCCTCCTTGTTGTGCTTATGAACAACATATCAGTTGCATAATAGGTTGATTTAATTGCCCTCTCTCAACGACATTTCACCCACTGAGTAACATTGTCTCCCCTGAAAGGTAACTTTATATAAACTATATTTTTGAAAATTGTCTTTGAAATTGATTTTCCTTTATATCTTTTACATATGTTAAATATATTTTTGTTTTTCTTTAAGAACGGTTACTGAACAAAGAATGTCCTTTTTCGATAACCTGCTCTTCATCAGGTTCTACAGTTATATATACATAATAGTGAATGAATTGGTGTTATTTACAACATTAATGTTGCTTATATGACATCGAATCAATGATACTGTTAATGGACTACAGTTCGATAGCATCAACATAGCAATACACACTGAATATCAGAAAAATTGGGGAAGATAGTAACTCAAATTCATGAACTTAGAGTCTCCACTGAAGGAAGACCAGATCAGTAGTAGTGGCTAGCTGGATTTGCTTCTTTTGCACACAATGCACTGGCTGTTTCACGCAAATCGCGATAGCCTCTATTGTTTGTAGTATACGGTACCTGGATGTTTTTGGAAATTTATTTGGTGCCCGGTATGTGATAGAGAAGGACTCGTCAGTGCTAGCTGGCTTTGTGGCCGGTTCGGAATAGATGGTCTAATATCGAACTATTGATGGTTTTTACTACACCTTTCCTTAGCCACACTAGTAGTTGTTTCCGAGCACGAAAAGTCAAACGGCCAATATAACTCGCTCCACGAGCGCATATGAAGTGGTAGATACAGTTAGAAGTAGCTGGTCTAAGTGCTTCATCTTTCAATCGAGGAATCACCATCGTCGTGTAGAAGACATGAAGGTTCCTTGTATTTCAATATTATTATAATCATATCTAGGTGTTTGTAATTGTATTAATTTTGTATCACAAGAACCCCATTTTATTCTTTAGTATATACTTTGATTGATGAATATTGCTCACTTAATAATGGTTGTTAACAGATTACCTAGCACTCACCACCCATAGATCATATATTTGTTGAAACCTTCAAAAATTGTATAGAAGATAACAATGTTTGTAGAGGAGTATTCAGTTGACGGTTCCCTCCACCGAAATTTACGAAGTCATTCAATACTACGTTTTTTCATAGTTGTTGCTTGTTATAAAATATGAAATTCTGATATTTGCTATTTATTGGATTAATTGAGTTTTGAGTAGAATATACTCTCTCCTTGTTATATATATATATATATATATATATATATATATATATATGCGTGTGCATTATGCTTGTGGATGAATTAATTAAACCAAAAACTGCATTATTAGCCTAGAAGGACATTATGCTCATTAGATTTCTTTGAAAAAAATGTGTTGTCACGTTGTGTATGACCTAATCGATTCCGCAAACATTGAACTCAAGGTAAAGTGCGTATATATATATATGTTTTATAAATCTGATCGATTTTAAAATAAGTATCTTAAACGTTTCGTTCAGCAAATTGGTCTGAACTTCTGATTATTCACTTGAAGAAATTCGCACCAGTTTTACAAGTAAAACGACGGATTTATTTATCTTATTATCGGTTGGATTTGTGCGAACGATGGCTACATTTGTTGCCACGATTTTTTAAAATCATTTCTACGTATAGGTCGGTAGAACGCCAATAGAAAGAAAAGGTGGTGTCAATCGACACTATTGAAGGAAACATTAGGACTCCGTGAAAGGCACGTGGACAAAAGTTTGTATAGACATGTTTGACAAGAAGAAGAAATAAAACAAGGGATAGCTGTTTACTGACGTCAGGGAGCCGTTGGAAGATATAGGGAAACTGAAGTAGAAATGAAAAAGAGAGGTTGAGTATAACCCATGGAGCAGTTAACAAAGAAGTAAAGATACGTGCTAGGAAAGACAAAAGATGCTTTTAGGATACAACGGCAACCGAATTAGGTTGGGTTACAGATAAGAAAGACCTTACAACATTATTAAATAACCAAACGACTGCCCATGAAGAGATCAGTACATATAGAGCCAGTGATGAAAAACAGTGAAGGAAAGGACCATCACGTGCAACTCGTCCAGAAGCATCTCTTACAGACATTGAGCTACCACTTAACGCAAAACTCCCGACTTGAGCAAACGTATTGGTCATATGGCTAGTAAAAGCAGGGAGAGCATTAGGATCGAATAGGATTTCACTCGGGAGCTCTGAGACGTCAACCGATATGCTTACCCTACTACTGTTGTAAAAGGTGTAAAGGAAGGGAAGTTACTTGCCAATTGTAAAAACGGCTACATGACTCCCTGGCTATAATATTCATGACACTAAGAATCAATGAAAAAAGGGAGACTTTTGATAACGTTTCTGAAATCTCCATTAATTGCCCTTCAACAATCACCGTGCGTTTATTTTCCATTTTTAATTCTGAACTGAATATTTCAGTGTTTTAAGCATATGTAACTTTAGTTATGTCGTTTTTTTTGTTGTTTTGAATCTCTTTTTTTGTTCGCTTTATTAGGTAAAAAATGGTATGGCAGTAGTTGAAGAAGCTCTTTTGAAACGGTATTCAGGTGACACAACAACACCGCCTAAAACCATCATGGTAAACGGCTATGGTGATGAAAATGACGAGAATATGACAAGTATCAAATCCATTTCACAGTGTTCTCCTGTGTTATCAAACAATAATAATAATAATCTAGTTAAAGCAAAAGATGCATTTAAATCTGACACATTGATCACGTCTCCTACTTCTAAAACTATTGGTGACTGGATAAACTCACTAAAAGTATCAGGTGCATCCACTGTTGGCAATAAAATTGTGAATTTAGAAGGACAAAGTAATAACTCCACGATACTGTCAAATTATGAAACGCAACGTCAACTGTCATCTGAGTTATCAAGTGATGTTCATGATGAAAATGATTGTAAGTTTTTGTCATGTTTTTGCATAAATATACACCAATCAGTTGTACTAGTATAAGTTAAATGTGATGGTGGTAGTTAGCAGTAGGATCGAGGATGTACGCTTCAGCTTATTTGCGTTGGATTCACCTGCATCCCCGACGAATAATGCGGACCCATTTATGTATATGAGTTTATGGATTCAAATGATCTGAGTGTTGGTGTATACCCGTTAAAGTATATCATATAACTAATCCTGTGATTCACACTCAGTGTTGAATTTCAATTCAATGGTCAAATATATCGACAGAAAATGGAGTAGCAATAGGTTTTCCACTTGGTCCATTGTTCGCTGACTCCTTCATACATAGCGTAGCTAGAATCAAACATCCTTCTACCAACAATCAAACACCTTGGAGTTTACACGTTGTATTTTGATTGATATCTTTATCATCACTGATGGGAATACAAACCTTAACGAAATCCTGGAAATCTTCAACAACATTCATCAAATAGTGGAATTCAAAATTGAAGTGGAACAAGAAGGTAAATTATCCTCTTGGATGTCCAACTTACAAGACGATCGGATGAAAGCCTACAATGGTCAATATCTACCACAAGCTGAAATGGAATGGACACCTGACAAACGATCACATTTTTGTCCCAATAAGCAGAAAAAGGTAATCACACGTCTTTTCTTGAGACGAGAGTCTACCGCGTATGCACTGGAAATACATTTGAATAAGGAACTGGAATCCTTTAGAAAAACTCTAATCAAAAATGAATACCCAACATCCTTCATCGACAAACTTCTAAAGGTAAAGACCAACTCTCCTCGAAACCTGTGTATGCCGAAAAAATAACTCGTCAAAACTAATTGTAAATCTGAGGTTTTCTGAAGTCGTCTGTCGAGAGCAGTTCGAAGAACACTCTTTACTGCGTCTTTACGCCTCACCTTCTGTACAAGCGCTTTTTTCACCGAAAAGTCATAGACAAGTTCCCACTGTTGGCAACTCTAATGTGCATTTAACAATTCACTTGCTAATGTGGAGCTGAGTACATAGGCAGTGCCAGTGGGACATTATCTAGGTGTGTCCATGAACACTTATCAGTATGGTTATCACCTGTACACCTTTAAAGTGAAGTTACGAGAAGAGATCTCTTTACTGATTCATGTTTTAATAATAAGCATAATAATAGTTTCATCAAATAATTTTTCTAAAAATTTTGTTGAAGTACTTTTTGCATTAGGCAGATAACAGGCCGTTACTATACACTTTTTATTCATGTTAGAGGAAGTGTACACTTTTACTCGTAAACGAATGGTTATTGGATGGTTAGTTGAAAAAAAAACCTCAATCAAGAAATCAGATATCCAGCAAACCTTCACATACAGGTTATCTATAATTCATTTGCAACTGGTAGTTTTCTTCTTTGTTGTGATAATCAACTCTGCATATTGCAATCAACCAGCTAGCTAACATAAGCGGTATGTTTCTATATTGACTAACTGACCGGTTTCAACGTAAAACTTTGCACAGATGTGCAGCAGTTCGAGTTGCCACACTCCATGTAGCACACAAAGCAACAGAAGGTGGTAAAGAGAGATAGATAATAAAGAGAAATATAAGTCAAAAGGAGTAGTGACATGGAAGAACAATATAATTTTATTGGATATTATAAATCCTAAAGAGTGAATGCATCTGCGCCATCAATGAGAACGATTTTGAGTTATATCACCAATTGTCTGCAACAGTCATTGGTTCTTACCATCTTGAGGACTCTAACCCGCCCACCAAGAAGTCTACACCTCCCTACGTAGCCGACTGGCTGGCTCAAACCAACTGTTGTTGATTTCATTGACTGATGAAGCCATTTTTTGGTTTGACCACCATTATCTCTTTTTCAACCTGATCCATCTTTTGTTAGTTAACATTAACCGCCGTCGAGGAAGGAGATGGATGGCTAGGCATACGTAAAACATGACCTAACCTTCTTAATCGATCTAACTCCACAAACTCGTCGATTGATCTCCCCTCCCTCCTTACCTAATACTCAACGACTCCTAACCTCAATATTACTCACTCTATTATACCACTTCACACGGGATATAGAACGTAGACACCTATGATCAAAGACAGCTAGTCGGCATTTTCATGTCTTCAATGTCTCACCTCCAACCATAAAGGATGACAGAGCGAACTGCTGGGCAGTACACATGCCCTTTGGTCGACATTTGGATGTCACGTCAACGCCAGAGATAATGCAGGTTGCCAGATGGCAAGCGAGCCTTCTGTATCCGTGTTGAGATTTCGTCAGTGATCAAACCATTGAGGTTGATGCAACTCCCCAAATAAGTGAAGTAGTCAGCACGCTCTACCACTTCATCCCCCTATCTTTGAGCTAGAAGTCAATGCAGTCCAGTCCTGTAGCCTCATCATCGCACATTTGACAGGAGCGGGTCACTTGCCAAACATTCGAGGATTTGCTGCTCAGTTTTTTTCAGAAGACTGCTTTTTGTCAGAGTCTTCACCTACGACGACTATATGATCTCCCGATTCTAAGTCAACGAGATTATTCCCTAATGGTAACAAGTAAATCGCTGAATGGCTGAAGTCAGTTAGGGTTAAGTTCATTAGCACATATCTTTATATATGAGAAGGGTATCACATAGGAAAGGTAGGAACAGTTTTCGGCACACTACACCAAGAGATATGGGTTTTCAAGATTGAAGCTTTTGGTAATATGGTGTGTGTGTGTGATGGCAGTAGCAATTCTGTCTTCCTGATTTTACTTAAAAGAAGTTAAAACAAAACAAAAGAGTAGTTCTAAGGACTTCACACTTACAAACTGTCTTATCGTCTGGTGTTGCTGGCACTTTCTTACTTGGAAGTATGATTCTATAATATCTAAAACTAGTTAATAAGCTATCCTTCACTCACAGGCCTATATGTTATTGCACAAAAGTAATCCTTTCTCCCTTTCAATTACTTAAAGGAGACTTTGGACATGATTTTCGTTTACTTTTCCAGCTCACCTCTTTCGCGAGTCCTTTGTACACAGTGACAAGATTCATATTTATTATATTAAGGACTGATGATACCATGCACAGTCACTACTCGTTGAAGAGTGTTCACTGAGATTCAAACTCTCAATAAGTGACTGAACATTAATAAGGCATATCTTCAATTTCAATACTTATTTCTGCTGAAATAGCTTTTAGTTGAAGTCTTCCAGTCGTGTCCTGTTATCTCAAACAGTCTTGTAATATTACACAACACTACATTGTTATCAGCCAACATTTCCGTCTATCTGCATTCAACATAGAGCTTGGCACCAAAGTGCAGCAGTTCGAGTTGCCACGTTCCAAATAGCATACAGAGGTAGACAAGAAGATGAGTGAAGAGAATCAATACAGTCTGACAAGTATAAGAGTGAAACAGAATGGGTAGTGGTAGAAAGAATATGAAAGATTACAGAGACTGAATACATCTGCACCATTGACAACGATTTTGAGCCATGTCACCTATTGTCTCCAGCCATTGATTCCTAGAGTCCCGAGGGCCCCAACCCGGGAGTCTGCATCTCCCTACCTGACTCAGTTTAACTTTCAAGGATTTCATGGATTGATGCCATGTTTTTGTTTGGCCACCACTTACCCTTTTCCAACCTGCACCACCTATATCAGCTAGTAATGCCTGTCGGGGGAGGTGATGGTTAGGGATGCGGAGCATGTGACTTAGCCATCTCAATCTATGTAACTTTATAGCCTCGTCGATTGATTTTCCCTCTTTGCCCAACACTCAACCAGCATTTAGGTACTTGGTTGTTTACTCTGGATCTATATACAGTTGTAAAGCTGTTGGTCACTGATCTCTAGGCACACAACTTCCTCCAGTGGGTCACGGGTTCTAAGTACTCTTCACATATTGAGATTTGGACAGCCAGGTAGTATCAGTAGCTTCTCACATGATGGGTGTAGCTCATTGTCAGCTATATGGAATTGTAATTGGGTGTTAAGTGTCATATGTCGTCGTCAACCTTTGCCAGTGTTATGAAATGAGCTGTAGAAACTACATAGAAAGGCTGACGTGAAAGTCTTCAAAAGAATATATTGGTTGATTCTGTTACACTTCAAAACATTCACACAAACTCGTAGAGCTACAAGCGAAAATCAACAAGTTGGCAGAAGAGGCAGGCGGCAAAGACAAGAATTCAAGTGAATATTGAGAAGGCATGGGTTATGAAGACAACCAGCTAGGCACCAATCACTATCGATGGAAAGAATTTGAAGGTGGTCACACTTCCTTTACTTATCTGAATAGTATCCTCTCAACTGCAGGCAGTCGGTACGCGGATGACGACGTTAAAGGAAGAATTGAAAAGGCAAGACAGACTTTCATCACTGTGAATTCAGTTTAGAAATATACTGCATAAATGATAAAACTTGGATTTTCAACACTCATGTTCAGTCAGTCACTTCTTCAATGTGAGTCAGAAACTTGACCAGCAGCAGGTCACGAAAAGCATTTCCAATAATCGGATTCAGAATTCTATCAACAACTTCCTTCGGTGGCTCGATACTGAAGATGAGATGGCTGGCCGACCAAAAAGAATTGTCAACAAGAAACTCAGAAGATGTGTCGCAGAAAATGGAGATGGATTGGACACATACTGAGGAGACTCGTGTAACATCACGTGAGAAACCATAGCTCAACTGGAACCCGACTACGAAACGAGTTGGGCGTGTGTCGAAGGGGGAGACATAAAGAAGTTCGTGTGAGCAAGAGATAAGGGAGACTATGAGCAATCGTGAAGCCATCTCAATGCAACTGGAGAGAACATGACAAAATGGAGATGTGCTATTGAAGCCGTATGTTCCCCTCGTAACCCAAGGGAACAATAACAGTGTACAGTCAGTATGTGGATATGTGGACTTACTACTGCAAAGCACTTTAACCTGTAATATGTGTATCTCTCTTGCAATAAGATCAGGCAATACATTTAACGAATTTCATTTTGGTTCCAAATATATTGTGCCTGAAATTATTCACCTTTTCATTAATTTCATCTTGATATTTTAGAAATAATAAATACTGCAACAATATAATGCTAGATTATTTTGTTTTGTAGATATGCTCATACTATTTAACCGTTATATTGTTATTCTATATATATATCTGTTGTCAGCATCCGCTAATATTTATCGGTCATCAAAAGGAATTTTAGCATCTTGTCCTCATTCAACAATACTGTCCTTAGCTAGTCGACATTCAGCTAGTGTTGTCTACTCCCAGCTACCTGTTGTTTCAATTCCTGATCGTCAATCTTCAAATCTACGAGGAAATGATCAAAGTGTTGACTGTAAAACAAATCATTTGACAGGAAATCCTTCAGATCACTCTTCAGTTATTGGTCAACAGCACCAATGTCATGAAACTTTAATGCAACCGTTGAGTAAACCATTGAATGAAATCCAATCCAGTAGTACTGGGGTAGGTTGAAATTATGAATTAATCTATTCGCATTTGACGATTTTGTTTTCTATTTTAAAAAATTTGATCCTTTCTCACTATTTACTGCACACACACACACATCCGCACGCTCGCACGAATGTAAGTCATGACTTCCTAGAAAATCACCATAAATGAAATAGAGAGGAAAAAAGATAAACAACTAAAAGTGGCTGGTTTACCATTATTACTAATTATATCTTAGAGAATATTCGTCATATTGTATCACCCTCGACTAGCGAATTTCAGCGTGTTCCCCATATCCTTTTCCTACTTTGAATCATATAGGATGACATTTTGGACTATTTGGTTGATTGTGGCTTCGGACTCCATCCTAAAGCTTTGTGGTACACTAATAAATAAAAGTCCATCAAAGGACTTTCTTTCCTATATAACTGACCCATTTCATGAATCTTCCATCTAACCGACTGTAAGACTAACGAACTGGAGGTAGATTAGGAGACATTCAAAAGACAACTACCAGCATTTTTGAACCCATCCGACAAATTCTAGAATTGCTAACTTGGTTTTAACATCACATGCAAACAATATTAAGGAGACAGTAGTGAGCAAGTTCATTAGGAGACATTACCGCACACCCTGGAGTTCTGTAATTTCATTGTTGACGGTCAAATCAATAACCTGGTTCACTCACACACATGCTTGTGCCGGTTCCCTCAAAATATCAACCACACGTAATATATACTTACTTATGCACCCTGTTATACAAGTTTTTCAGTGTTCTTCTAATATCCCCAGATTGTCGGCGAAGAAGTGTACGTTTGTCACAAAGACACCTTCGTGGAAAAATCATTGACTTGACGAAACAATGAAATTTGCTTTTCCTTTCTGTCTTATATCTGATGAGTTACTTAGGTCACTAGATATATAAAATGTATGTGCCCTAACTGGGTCTATCGTTACTGTCCCACAACCTTGTATAGATTTATGTTTAAAACCCCGGAGTGACTAACTCATTGGTCGAAGAACATACAAATGATGTCTCGGAGGTATATTTTATTCAGTTTTCTTCAACCTGTAGTACTTGTAGACATGTGCGCAAACAATTCAAACCTTGAATGCCTAGGTAACGTTATAGTAGACACTACAGATTGACAACCACTGTCAACTGGTTACATGAATACTTGTACTACTCTCCATTTTCTCTTCACACGATCCTCTCCATGTATGAGCTTGGGGCGCCCAACTCATCGCTTCCCCATTGGATGACCTGGTGTGTGTGTGTGTGATTATCTCACGTGAATATCTCCTCAGCGTATATTCAATCCATTTCTGTGTAAAGAAATCTACATTGATTACTTATTATCTAGGAAAACCACAAATTAAGCGAAGAAATATATTCCTTTCCAACTAGTTCCTTATCATCGGTTCTACACTGATATATTGTTTTTGAAGTCGAAATTATTCCATCATTCGGTTATTGTAATTTAAAAGAATTATCAGTTTTAGGTATAGTGGGGTGTGGGGTGGGGTTGAAAATGAGAGATTAAAAGTCATCAAAATAACTAACTAGTAAATGTTAGCAGCAAGATATCGTAGTTTTGAAGGAGGGAGGAGTGAAAACATTCACAGAATTCAACATCAATTAATTTGTGGGGGTTATTATTATTAATTCCTTTGATTCGTAGAGGAACATAGGGCTTCAGCCGCGCGTCTCCATTGGCTTCGGTTCTCTGCAAACGTTTTCACCTGGCTGCATGTCTGCCCACACGCTTTCATCTCTTCACATGACCTCCTCCAAGTCGCCCTTGGACTAACGACCAACTCGCCGCTTCCCTTCCGCGTTACACTCGAGGGCTTGTCTAGTGATGTCACTCATTTGATGATTTCCTCAGAGTATAGCCAATCTATCTTCACATTTTTCCCTGCCTATTTGTTTCACAATCGGTTCCTGGTTGGTTCGCTCCCAGAGGTCTCTCACTAATGCTAATCTTTTCTGGCTGGCCATCTGATCTTGAGTACTGAGCGAAGACAGCTGTTGATGAAGGTCTGTAGTTTGTTTGAGGTGCTCTTTATGAAGCGCCAAGTCTCTCATCCGTTAGCCTACAAGTTTTAATGTAATCAAGGAATTTGTAAAAAGGAGAATGCGATGAGTAACCAGAATTACTTTAGGTATAGATGAGTTAATTGAATTAACTAGAATTGGAGTCATCATAAAATAATAAATTCCAAAACTGTTCCGAAGGGGGGGAGGGGGGGGGAAATCGTATGTAAAACTGGCTACATATTATGTAGTTGGTTAAGGCGAAATAAGGGACTGCACAAATTTCTTTTGAACACAAAGTTTCGGTTTGTTCAGGTGAATTTCGACTGCTTCCTCTCTGTTCGTAAAAGTCATACTCGTAGAGCTTGCGAGTGGCTGGGTGAAATGTGAAAGAGTCAACTTGATGCCGAGTATCGACGAGATGAGTTAGTGTCGAACTCCCATCTCCCCGAAAACTGGCAATTCCTATAAATTAAAATAACCACATGATTTGGTAAAATTTCTATGTAAAAAATTCTATGTTGGTGTAAAGCTCGATGATGAGGACCTAATTGAAAAGGAATATAGTTCTCCTCTCAATTTGTCGTTTTTCTAAATATGTAAGTGGGAATTTTCAAGTGACTAAGCTTGTTAAGAATGCAAAAGGCAAAGTTGGCTTAACTACTACCGCTCATCCATTACTCAGCTAGAAATTAATTATACCTTAATAGTGTATTAACACAAGATCATATTGAGTGCTAGTTAGACACTTTGTAATGCTAATCTTTTTTTCTAAATATAAATTTCATATATCAGACTACAGCGGGCTCAACAGGCAATGTGTTCAATCAGTCCGTATCACCATCACAACAGCAACAACAACGCTCTCAGACAACAACAATGTTCAATATCTCACAACAACCAACATCTAGTCTGTTGACGCCTACTCCACCGCCTAAAGGTCCAGTATATAAATGGACACCAGATGATGTTGTTGCCTTTGTCCGTGGTACTCCCGGATGCAGTGCATATGCATCAGCATTTTTAAACAATGAAATTGACGGTGAAGCATTATTATTACTAGCCGAGGATCAGTTTATTCAACCACCAATCGGTATGAAAATTGGACCAGCATTGAAGCTGGTTGCAAGACTAGAATCATTAAGACATTGTTGTTGATATATAATAATGATGTTTCTGATGACAATGGCAGTCATTACTTATTACATTATCAGTAGTATATATATACAAATACAGATTAACTTATCAAATGCATATTGTTTATTGTTTTTACTCGTCAGAGAATGTTTACTTGTAATCATAAAGATCTCAACTTTTTCGTTTATCTTGTTTTCCGGTGATACCGATTACTTTGTGTTCATTGATATTACTGTGACGACTATTGTTTTATTATATTACTTTTATCACTTTTATTATTACTGTTATTATTATTGCTTTTATAATTATTATTATTATTATTACCATGATTAATTTCATATGCAATCTTTTATTTCTCCATGTTTAATTTATGCGTTACGTTTTTATGCATGAGATCTCAAAATACTGAGCATTTAATCCATTTCAAACAAGCCAACAATCAATCAGTTATCAGAATGTTGTAAATAAATAAGAAATATGGTTACTTTTATGGTTGGTGTTCTGTGTATTTCTGTGTGTGTGTGTGTTGGTGTGTCTGTGTTTACACATGATTACATCATTTACAGTAACAACAGCATAATAATAATAGTAGCACTAGTGATAGTAGCAGTAGTGATAGTTAATAGTAGTAACTTTCAAGACGACAACATTTTTAGTCAGTAGTATGAATGGAGAGGAATACTCATAAATATCACCTCTGCTAAACTCTTTGTATGCTGAATATCATTTTCAGTCTGGTTGATTTCTTGTTTAACTTACTACTACTGCTATGACGTACAAATATTCATATTAACATCATTACTGTTTATTATTATTGTTACTAATTCATTGTTGTTATTGACGCATTGAGTTATTTACCTTATCGAAATTTGTTCTGTTTTTTTTAATGAAAATGTATTAATAAATTATTGGAGATTGAGAACATTTTTTTCTTGACTTGGTAGATTTAAAAGATGCAACAACCGCGACAAAAGCAGTATCGTTAACAATAGCTATTATTACTACTATGACCACCAATACAGCGATAACAACAACAACACCATCAACGACTAATACTACTACTACTACTACTTCGACTGTTAGTAGTAGTGCTTCATGTCCTAAATTAAAGTCAACAACACCTTTCCAATTTCCACCTCCACCTGTATTAATTGGTTTAGATGACAGGCGTATATTAACTCATTATATTGATGGTCAAGTTTCTGACCCATATAGAAAAACTGACTGACTTCACATTTGCGTTGAAAATCCGAATCTTATTCCTTGTGCTGCCGAAAAAAGAAGATTCCCAAACTGGTTTGAGGTTGATGAGAGTGTATCTTTCCTTTCCAATTCTGGCTGGTTTCGACGTCATCATCCGTTCTGCCTGTGGTTGAAACCGTGCTTCCAAGATAAGTGAAGGAGGTAACCTCTGTTAAATCTCTCCCGTTGTTGGTGACTGGTGCTGGTTATTGTCCCTGTCGGTTGGTTATCTGCATCACCTCCGTCTTCATGTTCACCTGCAGTCCCGTCGTGACTGCCTGATTCTTCAGCTAGTTTGTTGGTTTTCGTCTATAAGTCTCCGAGACGTCTATCATCTGCGAAGTCCAGGTCTTCTAGAGTTCTCTTATCTATCCAACGCATTCCTGTGTTCTCACTCCCAACGCACAGTTAGGAATATCACCGGTGGCATTAGGTAGTCTTGTCTTATTCCTGTATGTACTTCAAACGCCTCGCTGAGTCCTCCATTGTGGATCACCTGACACGTGGCACTGTCATATAGCTGTGGTTGAATGGGGTTGATAAAGACTTGTGGCACGCTATAGCGTTAAAGTAGTTTCCAAATTACTTCGCAGTCCACGCTGTCGAAGGCCTTCCAAAGTCGATGAAATTGCGATATATGCTTGACTGCCATTCCATGCTTTGTTTGATGATATGTAGAGTTGCGAGTTGAATTCAGCTTGTTCTGCGTTCAGAGGATGATACGACTTAGTGTTTTACTCGGCGTGGATAGGAACATGATTCCACTCCAGTTCTTTCAGAATAAGGCGTAATTAACTCTTCTTTGGTAGCTTATCAAGGTAGTCTTTCTTCCAATCGACAGGCACCTTTTCTTCCTTCCAAACCTTTTGCAGGCGATTGTCGATTCAAGAATCCGTTGAAGTGATCAGCCCATTGTTTTATTTGTTTCTCCTCTTTGGTAATTAGGTTCCCTTGAAAATCCTGCATTCATCTCTTCCCGTATATTAACCTGGTTATCTGCGGCCTGCCTGTTCTGTTCCAGTTGCTAGCTAGTGTGTTGTGAAATTGTCTTTTCCAGCACTCCTCTTCACTTCTTCATTCAGTGCAGTGTACATTGAACTTGGCTTCGCCTTTTGTTGTCCATCTGTGCATTAAGTTATCTTCTCTTTCACCATCCTCCTCTCTGCCGTTGGCTTCCAGGTGTCATTTTAGAGTCATTCCTTGTCATGCTTATTCTTTCTTCCTTAAATGACTGTCCATATTTCCTTAAACATCACTTCCAGAGAATTCCAATGTTCTTCCACTCAGGATTCTTCGATGATGCTATGTTATGTCTCCAACTTTGCTCTGATGGCTGTGGTGATGGTGTTATTTGTAGTTTTGTCCTTCATATTCTGAGTGCCGAACTTGAGTTGTGGTCTGTCTCCTGTTGCTTTTAGGACTTTCACCTTGACCCTGAAGGCCCCTTGAACTAGATGATGGTCTGAGCCCACATTTCCTCCTCTACTCGATTTTGTGTCCAACATGCTGCGTCTCCACTTCCTTGAGCAACATTGATATGATGTCCATCTGGTTTTTGGTGTGTCCGTAAGCTGAAATCAATACCCCCTTGTTGAGTTGAATCTTGCTGTCATTGTCCTGTGGTTCCCACTGGGGACATCATGATAGTGTGTGCTCATGGTTGTCGTTTGGGTGACCGAAGTAGATGACTGACTCCCTGTTAGTAATTTTGACAGTCCACATCCATTCCATCTGCTCCCACAGATTTCTAGTACTTCTCTGCCTTATCTTCTCATTTCTTTGGCAACCTGAGCAGCCTTCCCGACTTCTAAATAGTTCGAACATTTTATGTCCTCAAGCTTATTTTCTCTTTCGTTGAAATGAGACACATCAGCTAACTAACTGGCTTCTCCAAGGCTTTCACCAGCCCTCTGTGTCATTTGGCCTTTCCGTTTCCAGCGAAGAATGACTTTGTCCTTTTATATTTTTCTTCATTTTTTAATATTTTTATTGTGCGTTGTGGGGTAGAGTTGCTAGCCGTACGCCCTACCCTCTCCCTTTACCCTTGAGACCAGCTAGTAAACTACTGATGGAACATGCTCGCCTTCCCATACTTTCCTAAAAATTCCTGTCAGTTACATCACGGTCCCGCGTGGTCTAGCGGTTAGGATTCCTAGCTCTCACCCAGGCGGCCCGGGTTCGACTCCCGGCGCGGGAGCGCTTTGGCACCATAATTAGCTGCCAGGGTAGACGACTGGATCCCTGGAAAGAGCATTATGAGGAGCAGTTTAATTGGCCCACAGCCACGCTCAACCTTCCGAGCATCCAACACCTCCCTGAATGGGATATAGACACAGGTCCTCCGTCCCTAACTGAGGTTACTAAAGCTGTCACCAATCTGAAACTAGGCAAAGCAGCGGGACCTGATGGAATGACTCCAGAGGTATTTAAGTACGGTGGAGACAGTTTACTGTCTGCATTAACTGAGGTACTAGGCAGCGTCTGGGAATCAGAAGAAGTCCCATCGGGTTGGTGTAAGTCACTGATTATCCCCATATACAAGAAGGGAGACAAGTCTTCCTGTGATAATCACAGAGGGATTAGCTTGACTAATGTGGTATCTAAAGTCTTAGGCTCAATAATCATGCGTAGACTGAGTGGTGCTCGGGAGGCACAAACACGAGAGAGCCAGGCAGGCTTTAGACCAGGAAGAGGGTGTATTGATCATATCTTCACCCTCCGACAGATTCTAGAACATAGGGATTCCTACCGGCGTCCAACAGTCATTATATTTCTTGACCTAAAGGCAGCATTCGACTCTGTCGATCGAGAAGTTCTCTGGAGATGCTTGACTGTAAAGGGAATTCCAAGAAAATATATTGCACTGATTAAGGCACTCTACTCGTACTCATACAGCCAGGTGAGGGCTTACGGCGAGCTGTCATCTGAACTGATGACGACCAGTGGTGTCCGTCAAGGATGCCCATTATTCCCATTTCTATTCAATTTCATCATAGATGTGTTAATGGACTTAACCCTAAATGACTTCAGCGATTCAGGGATTGACTTGCTACCAGGGAATAATCTCGTTGACTTGGAATATGCGGACGATATAGTCCTTCTAGGCGAAGACGCTGACGAAATGCAGAGTCTTCTAAACACCTTGAGCTGCAATCTACGAATGTTTGGCATGCGATTCGCTCCCGCCAAATGCAAGATGATGTTACAGGACTGGACTACATCGACGCCTAGTTTAAAAATTGGAAGTGAAGTGGTAGAGCACGTTGACCGCTTCACTTATTTGGGAAGTACCATCAGCCCCAACGGGCTGATCTCTGACGAAATCTCAGCACGAATACAGGGGGCTCGTTTCGCATTTGCCAGTTTACGCCGACTCTGGCGTGGACGAGATGTTCGACTATCGACCAAAGGGCGGGTGTACTGCTCATCACTCCACTCCGTCTTCCTTTATGGTTGTGAGACCTGGCCACTGAGAGTGGAGGACATGAAAAGATTAGCTGTCTTTGATCATAGGTGCCTGCGCTCTATTTCCCGTGTGAAGTGGCATAATAAGGTGAGCAATATTGAGGTTAGGCGTCGAGTTCTAGGTAAACAGGGGAAATCAATCGACGAAGTCGTGAAGTTACAAAGACTGAGATGGTTAGGACATGTGTTACGTATGCCAAGTCATCGCCTCCCTCGACGAGCAATGTTAGCGGATATAGGGTCAGGCTGGAAAAAAGCTAGCGGCGGTCAAACAAAAACTTGGCACCAGTCAATGAAATCTACAACAGTTAGTCTGATCCACGTAGGAAGGTGTAGACTTCCTGACTGGTTGGGGTCCTCGGGACGGTAAAAATCAATGGTTGGAAAGAATTGGTGATATGGCTCAAAATTGTTCTTAATGGCTGGTGCAGATGCATCCACTCCTTGTGACTTATGATTTCCAATGAGACTGTTTTGTTCTTTGTTATTACTCTTCATTTGTCTCACACCTCTGTCTACTGTCTCTATTATGCTTTTCTTGTACTTTCTTCTCTTGTTTTGTATGCTTCAAAGAGGGAGTGTGGCAACTTGAACTGCCGCACATTTGTGTAAAGTTCTATGTCGAAAACAGACAGAGACAGACAGTTACATCACGAGAACGTCGCCACTATCTTTAAAAAGGGCTGGGTTTAAGTGCCTAAAGCAGTTTCAACACAGAAGTGCAGCACTTCAAGTTGCCTTACTCTATGTTGCACAAATAGGTGGATAAAAGATATAAAATAAAAGATTCAAGGAACTATAATAAGCAGGAACGTGAAGGAGAATGAATAGTAACATGGAAAAACACTGCGGTTTGGCGGATATGGGAGACCACAAAGAGTTAATGCATCTACGTCACTGAAAATGGTATTAAGTCATATCACCCATGGTCTCCAGGCTCTGGTTCTTAGAATTCTGATAACCCGATGTAGACAGTTTATACTTCTCTACGTGGCTAATTGCAAGTTTCGAAAACTTCATAGACAGGTTTTGGTTTGATCACCCCTGATTCTTTTCCAGCCTAATTCCATGTTTCTAAAATTGCGCAGCGCGAAAGCTTGACATCAGAACATGTGTCCTTATCATTCCAATCGTTCCAGGCTTACAATATCATCGACTAACTTTCCCTCCCTCCTTACCTAATACTCGACACCTAACCTAAATATTACCCAC